TTGTCTGGAAAGACGGAAAGGTGCCAACTATGTTTTCAAGCCAGGATTTATAGAATTTGATCTATATGCTGTACTGTAACCCTGTTTACATTAATACTACCAGCTGGTGCCATGCTTTCCAGTTTGTCTCTTTTCCAAACTCCACTCCACACACAAAAAGTTCATATTTTTGCTTACGCCAACTTTGATAAGACAGCAGCATGATTGATATAAACCCATATAAAACTGTTTGCAAAACAACCTAATGAAGTAAGTTTCTATGAACTGTTTAATGACTTGGAACTTACCCATGGGTTCTGGAACAATATCATAATAGTCAGGAACATCTTTGGGGTCAACGGGCTGTAAGAAAGGCCATGACATTTTGTGTACCTGAAAAGCAAAGAAAACTCAATTAGCACCAACAAGAAAATTCAGAAATGTGTTCCTGCGAGAATCTTTAAACCCTCTATAAACCTCAATTGCGTAATGCGTGTAAATGTTTCAATCTTTATGAATCTGTCTTATACAAGGGTTCATCAAATAAGCAATTTTAAGCGATAATTGTGATTTTTTTAAAAGAAACAGTCATCACTGTGCTTGAGGGAAATCCTCCAGCACATACACAAAAATATGAATTTTTCTGGGAAAGAAACTCAATGGTTGCCTGTGTGCTTGTTTTACTTTATTAGATGTGACAGTTTTCCCAGCCTTCAGCTTGAGTGGTACAAAGATGTAATACCTCTAGGGACTAGATCTATACATGAGGAAGACAGATCTTTATCACCTTTGTATCAGTAATTCCTCATGTGGGTTCCAGAGCCCCATTCGGGGGGACAAAAGAACAGACCAAATGCCTCTCTAACAAGCATGTTGTAAAAAGGACTAAGGGATTTGTCCTCCTAAGTTGGAGCGCACCTGCTTGAGCGGTAAGGAACCAACAGTATGCATACAAATAAGCCAGATCTGTAAAATGGATATGAATGCAAAATTCAAGTCCTGGAGCAAAATGAAGTAAAGAAGTGGACGAACAACTAGAACTTTCTGCCACGGTTTACAGCTGGTGAATACTAGGAAGAAGTTTCTGTAATGAACCAACTACAATATTCAGGAGGTTAAATGGAACGGCCAGAGTAGCACAGTATCTCTGAGGTTTGTCTTCTGGTCCGAAGGCCTTGCGCTCAAATCTGCATCAAGGCAGATTTTTAAAATAACAACTGGGTTCCCAGAGAACTAAAGGTAGTCAATATGATGCTGCCCTTACCACCCACTGGGTGCCGATTGGCTTAGAAATATATATGTCTCGTAACAAACGTTCGATGCGCAAATTATTTGAAAAGGGCCCATAACTTAGTTACACAAGTAATTTCCTCTGAGTAGTAAGGCTGGACGCCTGTGCGTACTGTTGGGCATGTAAAAAATACCTTGGCAGTTAGAAATCGAAAAAGAGTAGCCCAATGGCACGGTCGGTGAAAAATTTGAGGTTTAAAATCTATCTAAAGTATTTCAGAATCCTCGCTAGTGCAACGGAGTTCGTGCACTGCACTGAGATTTCTTCAGACTCATTCTTTAGTAAGTAGAATTGAGCACTTGTGGGTTACACCTGTGGGCCATGATGTAATCTGTTATATAAACACCAAGGACAGATAAAGCTAGAATACCTGTAAGTCTTTCAGCAGCTTCTGCAGATGTTGGTATTCTGACGTAGTCAGGGGCTTCTGTGCTATGGGATCTGCCACTTCTTCCTTCTGACAGTTCGGGCACACATATACTTCCAGGCTGTCTGCCTCCTGTTTTGACATGCCCACACAGTGTCCGTGGAACCAGTCTTGACAACGGTCACACCCAATGTAAAACCTTTGCAGAGAAGAAAAACAAAAGAGTCACAATTCTGAGCAAGAGGAAACATACTAATGTAACACATAAGAAGAGGAGAAAATAATCCCACACACTAACAAAAATCTTGAATAGGAGCACCTATAAAAGAGAGGGAAATGTTACAACTGTGAACAGGAACATTTTACTTTTAACAAGTAACTCTTAACAAAAAGCACTCGTTATTAAAATGTTACAGCTCTTTCCTTTGTCTACAGTAAAACCTCGCTAACATGAACCCCAAAGGAACAAATCTGTGCTGGCTGGGGAAGAGTAGTAATAATCCCTGCTAGAACCAAAATTGTGTCCATGTTAAACAAGTGTTTGTCTTCAGCAGGTTCATTTTAACAAGGTTTTACTGTAGATAAGCCAGGTCCAGTGTGGTCATGCTAAGTCACTTTTTGCAGCTTGGTACTGTGCAGGTTATATTAAATTTCACCAACATGACACCTTCGATGCCAAAGGATAAAAATGCCAAAATAGAACAACAAAAATTGAACAGAAGTATGCTCTAAAATAAATTTGCTCCTATAATGGTGTTAACTGTATTAGCACAAAGAGTGCACTTATGGATGGCATAGTGGTTTGCACCTAGTTACTGAACAGTAGTCTAAGGCTCAACCCCTATTAGTACACGGTTCCATTTGCTTCACAAACTGACCCAAAACTGTGTAAAGAGAAGATGCAAAGAAGGAGTTAACTATTATACCTCAGTCTCATGCTTCACAAGAGCATACAGATCAACCTTTCCCAAAACTTTACGTTTTTCTTATATTCATCTCAAGCTGGAGTGTGCTGGCACCTTTCTGTCTTTCCTGACTACATTGTTCCACTCTGCTATATAAAGAGGCATAGGAATCCCATCCCATGGTGATGCCAATTAAAGATGAAGTTCCTTCTCTTCACAGGACAATGCATGGGCTGTATTGTAGAGACCATGTGTTGCCCATGCAGCTTGGTCCCTTACCTGGCCTGCCTTATTAAATCCAAAGGAAAAGTACCTCCAATATCTTAGAAACAAAACAGGCAGTAAAAGCTGTGCTCCACATGTCTACCTCCTAGACCAGCTGCAAACCAAGGCTAAAGGCCTGCCTTGCCATAAGTTGTTAGGTTGCATTTTCTCATCCTAGGATAAGGCAAGTAATCTTCCCAATGCGCTCCTCTGCCATAAGCTGTTGGCAACAGTGGGCTGCAAGGTTTGATCAATTCTGCACAACATCTGGCGTGAACAGAAAACAGATAGTTCTGACTAGTGTTACATGAAAGCTCAGTCATTTCTGACCAAGACTTGCCTGTGCCAATGGAGAAAAGGCTTTCAGCCTCGTGTCCATGACTGTACTCTAAAAGGGGTTCTAATAACAGTTGGATTAGTCAATAAGCAAATGAGTTGCCTGCGGTTCAACTCCTAACGGCTAAAGACTTTTTTTCCTAAACAGTGTGGCTGCACGAATCAGCCCTGTCTTATGAATTGGATATAAAAGAATTTTCTGGCAAAAATCAAGTGGTTTGTAGAAAAGACTTTAATAGCCCATTTTCCTAGCTCCCTGTGTGGGCAGCGGGACCTGATCAATAGGAAGGGGGAGAAAAGACCCACCACCCCTCCTAATGATTAACTGATATCTTTTCAGACAAAAGTGTTATATGGTGCTATGAGGAGGTGTGGGGAAAATACCCATGGATGGTGAGTGTGACTAGCAGGACCCACCTGCATGTTTTATAGCACAAAAACTGGTGTTTATAGAAAGCAACCATGCATTGTGAACTCTCTCTTGGCTTGCTTTGTTTACTTAAAAGAAAAGGTAACACCAATATGCTTAGAACGAAGCATGCTCCAGAAAAGGTGAATAATAAGGGATATGGTGAAATTAAATGTGTGATGACAAAAGGTGTAATATCGCACCTAGCTGTAAACTACAACACAACGTGCCAAACACCCTTTAAGGACGAATTTTCCAGCAAAATAAAGCGGTTGGTAAAGAACTCCATGACTCCAACTGGAAAATATCCTGCTTTACACTGCAAAACAATGTTGAAATGTATATTCACTTGTCCATCTCCCTACCTCTTTCTCTCATTTCTACATATTTTACACTGCAGCAAAATTTTTAATCTTCTCCTACACAATTCGGCTGTATGTTAATTTTTTTCAAATGTGCAAATAATACCAGAATATATTACATACTGATTTTCATCGTAGGGTGTTCGGCATAAACAGTAGAGTTCTTCCGAGGTGTTCTCCCGCTGTCTCCTACAGTCTTCACAAACGTAGGAATCTATGAACCTGGCTCGATCCTCGCTAATATTCACACAAGCTCCATGGAACCAGTTAGAACACAGGTCGCAGCCAATGTAAAACCTGCAGCAACAATGCAAATGAACGCTAAATGTTCACATTTGTAAAAAAGCCAGATAATTAAGTGTCTAACAATGTTATACCTAGTTTCTTGTCAGGCAAGGACAGAAAATAGATTCAGACATTATTTATTGTTTACAATATTTTCTGCATGAAAGTCCACATTTTCTATAACATGATGGGTCAGTATATGCAGTTATTTCAAAATAAACAGACATGTCTCCAATATAGAATAAACACACCTACAAATTTTCAAAAGAAAAGCTGTTTTCTTCTTCTTAATCAACAAAACATCTGCTTTCACTGCCACATACACAATTAACCATTAAATGTGTAAAAGAACAGAGAAAACTGCACACAATAATAAGAAACATAATGAGATATGATTTAGAAAGGTAAGCCAGGAAAAAAAAAAACATGCAGAATCTTTCTGGGGCATTTAAACGAAGAAAACCATGAACATAAGATTATACTTCTCTGTATACCCTTCGTGGGTGGGAGAGAGTGGAGGGGGGAGGGAAACAATGGCTCTTTAACAAACGTGTTGTAAAAGGACACTAATAGATATCACAGCGTAGCTGTAAATTACATGGGTTAATGCAGAAGAATATGAGATCACGACAGGTAATGAAGATAAGACATTACAGCCTTAATATAAATGAAAGCTGAATACAAAAAGGATCCCAGAGAGCAAGAGGAATATTAACAGATTATAACTGGTTGAAGGAAATCTCAGAAACAATATTGAAAAACAAAACTAAACATGTAAAAGAAAAAATCCAACATAACTTACTTGCTTTCATCATAGGGAGTCTTGCAAACGCAGTATAATTTCTCCCTGGGGTTTAGTCCCTTGATGCCAGTGGAAATAATCTTCTGCTTACGTTTTCTCACAATTGACTTGTTGTCCAAGTGGCTCGGGCTTGTTTTTGGAATCTCAGTCACAACTTTTTTAGGCCGGGCATGAGCTGCCAAGGTTACCGGTGTGGCACTTAACGGAGCTGCAGCTGCTGTTGTAGCAGCAGTAGCAGCAGCTGCTGCTACTGCAGATCCTGCTTGAGGGGACTTGGCTACACTTGTTTTTGTTTTTTTCACCTTGTCTGCCATTTCATTCTGAAATGTAGAAATAATAATTATTAAAAAAAAAAAAAAAACAAAGGTTAGGCTGGAGTGTTCATTTTAATTTTGCAAAGTGGCTAAGCTATTCGCTTGGTGCTCTTAAGGCTGTGAGTTTGATTGTGGACAGGATTCTTCACTTTAGGACATGCTAATGATTCGAAAAACACTGTGGGTTGTTGCTGCAGAAATGGAGTTTCAGATTTTGTACAACATTTTTGGCTGGCAAAAGACATTCTGCAGAGAGACTGAATTAATCTGGGTAAACACAGTTTTTGCGCCCTAACTGTATAACATCCTGTTATTTACTTCTTTTTTTTTTAACATGTGGTCAACTAAAAAAACAAAACCTGGCTACACATCCTGTATTATCTCATTCTATTTACATTCTAACAACATAGAAGTTTTTTATTTCCTTTCAAGTCAAATCATTCAATAAAAACATAAAATGTATAAATTCTTCTGCGCCTGAAAGAGTTGAACCAATACCCTCTCATATTATATAAGCAGCACAAAATGTAGACAATGAAAAGAGTATTTCACAAATATAGGCAACAGTAGAAGCTAGTACTAGCAGTAACAAAACAAAGCAACATAATAGTCTCTACTTCTCGAAGGAAATTTAAACCCATTATCAATAAGCCAGCAGCTACAATGCTACCACAGTTTCTAGCTCAAACACAGTCCATTTGTTTCACCTAGCAGTATCTCCGCCACACCAATAAAGAATTTTTTAAAGGATTCCCAATTTTCTTGACGTCCACCGGATGTAAACTCTGGCGGAAAGTTCTGGTTGTTTTTCACCCCCCCCCCCCCCCCACACACACACAAGAGGACCCCAGAACCCATGGGGAGGATCAAGATAAAGTAAAAGATCAGAAAGATAATTGTAGACTCACATAAATTTCTTGCTGCAAATTTTTCTCCATAAGAGACCGCTTTCGAAGTATTTCTTTCTTCAAGGCCTCTTTGTGCTTATATAAGGCCTTCTGCTGATTTATTGCTGTGAGACGCTTATGTTTTTCCTCAGCCGACTCTTGCTTCTTCTTGTTTTTCTGCTCCTGTTTCTCTTCTCTCTCGATCCTATCCAATATCGTCTTCATAACCTGGCCACATATAGAGTTTCTGCGAATGAGAGAAAAAAAGCATTATATCCGTTTTTGAGTCTTATAATCAATTAAATTCTCTATCATTTACACACACACACAAAACATTTTTAAAATTACAACCCACACACACACAAAAGGGCTTAACATTCTGTGTTCAAATAAACTCTGCACATGTGATCGGCTAAACCCTTTTGTGTTATTCTATTTTTTCACGTCTGGACTGCAAATGTTAGAGAAACCTGGTAATTTCTTCTTAACAATATACTACATGGTAACAGGTTTATATTTCTTTTTTTTTCCCAACTACAAATGAAGCTCTTATTCTAAACCCTAAATCAACACCAAATCCATTACAGATTATGGGTGCATTTTGTAGTTAAAGTTTTCACTGAGGTGAGGAAGACAATATTGCACCAAACCCTTCACAGCGGGTTAGAGTGCTATTATTATTTAAATCCCTAATGGACCTGGAAACATACACGGGTGAATAAACTGTGCCCCATTACATTAGCTTACTCAGTGCCAAGCAACCAATCATGGAATTATAGATATTTCCACACATTGGATCTTACATGAAGACAAGCAAATCTTTCCTATTTCTAAAGGTCTGCCACATACTTTTTACCTACTAATAGTTATACACAGCAAAACCCCATTAAAATAAACTTAGTTAAGAAAAACACTAGGTTAACACAAACACTATTTGTGTCTCAATAGCGATGTATGGTTATTAACCCCCGGCCAGCCTTTTTTTTTACTCAAACTTCCTTTTTTTTTAGAGAGAGAGAGATAGAGAATGAGAGAGTTGACAGCATAGTACGAAAAATCATCAGTGTCAGAAATAATTAAAAACACATGAGGCAGAAGGTTGTGGATAGACATGACTACTAGAATGGACTAGAAGAAGAAGAGAACTGCTTCAGGCAGAATAAGTTAGCGTGGAACTAAAAAAAATACCAACCTGCTTTGTTCCTCTTTCTGCTCCTGAGTAAGGCCTTTGGTCTTGACCCTGGACTGGTCCGTTGTGACAGCACTCGGTTGCTTCCCTATAGGAGGAGTGCTGCTTGGGAACCCACGCCTAACAGATGTGACACCACTGCTGTTGTTGGAATTTGCTGCCATCACTGCCATGCTTGCTGCAGGCTGCTGCTGCTGCTGGATCTGTTTCTGCATTGCCAGGAGTTTCTGCTGAATTTCTGGAGTCTGGTTCTGCAGCAGGGCTTGGCGCACAACTATTGATGAACACAAGGAAACAATTACTAAGTGTGCATTTACCATTGCTGAAACTCCAGAACTGATTTATTTAAGCAATGAAGTATAACACCAATGTCTTCTCACATGTCATAAGATTTCTTTCTTCTGTCTCCCAATGGGACAAGAACACTCAATGAATTCATGTCATTCTCTCCTTTCATCAACTACCTCCTGCAACTATATGTGTTCCACATATTATTCAAATGTTTTTATTCTAATTTTAATTTCTTTAATCCTTTTGCCAACAGTTCTGCAAAGCCGACATTGCTGCCTAAGCCAGTCCCTGGCCAGCCTAGTTAACCGCATTGGTTCTGTTTGTGTTGATTAGGTAGACTTGGCAGAAATCCTCTTCTTCTTTGTGTTTACCTGCAGAAAATTCTCACTGTTTGTTCCCTTCTGGGCTTTGATTTTCTTTTATTCGTAGGATCACTGTTTGAGTTACCGAATACATTTTTAAAGTCCTAGAATGCATTCCATTTAACACTCCACTGTGAGGTAGACCTATATAAACTGTTATGTATACCTAAACCATAAACCGAGGGTTTCTTAGCAAAAGAGAAATTGGCAAGAGGACGAAAATGGCTGTTTACCGCTCTACCTATGTACCCGTCCTGACCTATGGGTGTGAGTCATGGGCAATGACAACAGCTCACAGAAGCCAGCTGCAGGCCTCGGAAATGAGATACCTGAGAAAGGTGGTCCAAGTGACAAGAAGGGACAAAGTCCGCAATCAGACAATACGTCAAGATCTTGATACCCAGCCCTTTCTAACCCGAGTGGATCAGTCACAGTTACGATGGTTTGGACATGTGTGCAGAATGGGAGAAAATCGGCCACCATGGCAAGCATGGGAGGCTAAGAACCAGGGAACCAGACCTCCGGGACGACCCAGGGTGCGCTGGGAAGACAACATCCGACAGTCCCTGACTGACAGAGGACTGGAATGGAACAAAGCCAGAAAGAAAACTGCTGATAGAGACGTCTGGCGATCTCTCTGGCAAACCTCTACACCCCAAGGTAGAAGAGGAGCGACTAAGTAAGTAATGTATATCTAAATAAGTGGCTCTTAACCTTCCTAATGCAGCGACCCTTTAATATAGTTCCTTATGCGGTGGATACTACTGGATGTAAATTTGCATAGAAAAACCACAACAGCCAAATGCTGAGGTTGGTTTTGCAATGTCCTGTAAATGATTTGCAATTAACTTTTTTTTTTTTTTTTACATGTTGTAGCAACCCCCAACCATTCAATTATTTTCGTTGCTACTTCATAACATCAGTGAATATGTTTTCTGATGGTCTTTGGCGACCCCTGTGAGAGGGTTGTTCGACCCAAAAAAGGGTCGCAACCCACAGGCTGAGAACCGCTGACCTGACAAACTAGTCCATCACTAGACTGACCAGCATAAATGCATCACTGTCTGCTTTGCAGCATAAATGAAAAAATATGAGCAAATACTTTGATAAAAGGAAAGACAGGCCAAAAAAAAAAAATTGATAGCCCCTTTTCCCCAAATGCTGGACAGTACTGTATCATGGCATGAAGGACACATTAAGCACGAAAACAGGAATTAGGACACAACATGACTGCCCATGCCTCCTGGCAAAGCGCTTGATGATGGTGGTGATGTCTTACCTTGTTCAACAACTTGTGGCGTGATGGCATACTTGGGAGTACTAGCTTTTGATGAAGGACTGGTACCAGGTGAAGGACTTGTGACAGATATGGATGCAGTGCCAGATTCGGGCGATGAAGTCAAGGTAAGGCCTTGAGGTAACAATGATGTGGCTGCACCTGTAGCAATGATCTGCTGCGTACCTGCAGAAGTCTGAATGGTGAGCTGAGGGGTCAGTGAACGGACTGCGGTCAGTGTTGAAGTACCGCCTGCAGGCACAACCACACTAGATGACTGTGGAGAAAGTATTGTTTTCACTGGACTCAAGGAAGCTGTTGCCGTTTTTAACTGAATCGGTGAGGTAGTCAGCCCCCGTAACTGTTGTGTGGTAATTATTTTGGCCTGGCCTGCTCCTGTGAGCATGGAAGTGCCTGGCCGCAACATTAACTGTGACTGTGAGACGCCCAAAGGCCTGGTAATTATTTGAGTTCCTGCAGGGGAAGAGGCCAGCAACTTTGGAATCTGACTAGACACTGGGGATACTGATACTGTAGATGTGAGGCCTGATGCTGAGTTAAGATTTATGAGAGATGTGCCTCCTGTGGATCTCTGAATTAGTGATGATCCTGAGATAATCTGACCACCCAGCAGGGACTGGCCTGGGATTGTTGTTGTGGTAGTGGTAACTGCTAAAGTCACAGAAGGATTTAAAACTGTCGGTTTCAGCGTGGAGATAATAGTCTGTTGCCCAGGTGGACTTACCACATTGGATAGCTGAGAAGGTTGTGAGCTGTTTACTAACACAGTAGTGACTCCAGCTAGTGAAGTAGTGAGAATTGTCGGAGCAGTTACAGTGTTTATCAAAGCTGGAGAGCTAATGACAACAGCACTGCTCAATGAAGAAACCACAGGAGATGCTGCAACTAGTGTGCCGGCACTGCTGGTGCCGAGAGACTGACCAGCATGGTTGAGTACTGAGGCTATGTTCTGAGCTGAGATAATCTGTGGCCCTCCAGGCCGAGTGACAATGATAGGTTTTGATGGAGTGCCAGCAACAGAGCTTGCAAGGACCTGTCTAATTGCTGGCACTGATAGCGGTGATGTGCTGGTGGACTGGACCACAGACAGGCTGGATGCCAGCTGGGCAGGAATAACCAGTCGGTTCTGTGTGTTTGTGGGAGTCACCATGGCGGCACTTCCTGCGGATGGACTAACCATGATGGCTTGAGGTCTAATGCTAACAGTGGCAGCCCGGGGTGCCTGCTGTTGCTGAGCTGGCGATGTCGCAAGCGCTGCCGTGGTTGGTGCTGAAGCTGCTGCTGATGTGCTGAGGGTGATTATCTGAAGTTTACCATCAGGCATCCGCTGAATTATCTGGCCTGTTGAGGATTTAATCAATTACATATAAAAACAAGTTTCCTAGAAGATTCAATCCAACTATATATCAGCTTCCTAACTATTTTGGTTTCTGACTAGAGAGCTCTTGAAAAAAATCCATACTGAAAAAAGTTCGTTTTTATAAGGTTTTTCAAAACCTTGGTCAAACATCTGTTAAGTGTGGCGTTCAGTTTCCATCCTCACTGCTTTTGTTCTCTAAACAAAAACTAGGTGTTAGTTCATAAAAATTCCATCAGCCAGGAATGCTGAACTCGCACGTGTGTGTGCGCGCACATGCATACGTATGTGTGATAAGAGTGAAAGAACAGAAGTCAGAGAAAAACATTAAACGCACTGGAATCAAGTAAAACAATTTGAAAAAAAAATCACAAACTTTAACTATGAACAGACAAAGCAGGATAATACAAAGTGTAAACTATATATAAAACTATACTCAGTGTTACCCAAAGGAGCATATTTACAATTTCAAAGAAAGTAATAATTAAAAATAGAAATATTCAATAAGATCAACTGCAGCAAACTTTAGTTGTGGAGACAGCACATGACTGATTGTTCTGTATGTTTTCTACTTTCTTTTCTTCAGACGTTGCCTTTTTTTGTCAGGTTAGTCCAGACTGGTGTACAAGGCATTAGAACATATTACCCTATAGAACCTGTTCTCAGTACTTGTCTGGATCTCACTGTTTTGTATGCCTGTCCGATGCAGTGGTTTCTTACACACCTTTTTCCTTAGACCTCACATTCGATGCATTCAACAATAGATTTACATATTGTGACTCACCATGAAAGCAAATAATTTAAATTCCATGCATGTTTTGTCTTTATATCTATGTTTTTAAGAATGTATTCACCCAATCTCTTGTATCAGTCCACTCTTTTCATCATATAACAGTGTTTGTATCTTGATATAACTTCAAAATTCTGATCTGTTTAATTTTTATTTTTGTGTGGGTTCCACGAAAAACACAAGGAGGCAGAGGGTGATGAGGTCAAGTGTCAAACACTGTATTCTTCTTCTTCACCATGTTGTGGTTTACAGCTAGGCTGTAATATCTGCGCCTTTCAGCACAACACATCCAATTTCAGCAAACCCCTAAGTGGTTGCAGTTTCAGCATACTTATTAGGAGGATATGAGTCTATTAATTCTCTCCACCAAAATGGGTCTCTGGAATCCACGCAGCAAAAACAGTGTATGAGAAAAACTCATCACAGGCTGCAATGTCTCTAATATACAATGAATGCACATGTAGTTGTCACTGCAAAAATGTCTCTAATACACCATGAATGCACATGTAGTTGTCACTGCAAAAATGTCTCTAAATACACCATGAATGCACATGTAGTTGTCACTGCAAAAATGTCTCTAATACACCATGAATGCACATGTAGTTGTCACTGCAATAATGTCTCTAAATACACCATGAATGCATATGTAGTTGTCACTGCAATAATGTCTCTAAATACACAATGAATGCACATGTAGTTGTCACTGCAATAATGTCTCTAATACACAATGAATGCACATGTAGTTGTCACTGCAATAATGTCTCTTAATACACAATGAATGCACATGTAGTTGTCACTGCAATAATGTCTCTAAATACACAATGAATGCACATGTAGTTGTCACTGCAATAATGTCTCTAAATACACAATGAATGCACATGTAGTTGTCACTGCAATAATGTCTCTAAATACACAATGAATGCACATGTAGTTGTCACTGCAATAATGTCTCTAAATACACAATGAATGCACATGTAGTTGTCACTGCAATAATGTCTCTAAATACACAATGAATGCACATGTAGTTGTCACTGCAATAATGTCTCTAAATACACAATGAATGCACATGTAGTTGTCACTGCAATAATGTCTCTAATACACAATGAATGCACATGTAGTTGTCACTGCAATAATGTCTCTTAATACACAATGAATGCACATGTAGTTGTCACTGCAATAATGTCTCTAAATACACAATGAATGCACATGTAGTTGTCACTGCAATAATGTCTCTAAATACACAATGAATGCACATGTAGTTGTCACTGCAATAATGACTCTAAATACACAATGAATGCACATGTAGTTGTCACTGCAATAATGTCTCTAAATACACCATGAATGCACATGTAGTTGTCACTGCAAAAATGTCTCTAATACACCATGAATGCACATGTAGTTGTCACTGCAAAAATGTCTCTAAATACACCATGAATGCACATGTAGTTGTCACTGCAAAAATGTCTCTAATACACCATGAATGCACATGTAGTTGTCACTGCAAAAATGTCTCTAAATACACCATGAATGCACATGTAGTTGTCACTGCAATAATGTCTCTAAATACACAATGAATGCACATGTAGTTGTCACTGCAATAATGTCTCTAAATACACAATGAATGCACATGTAGTTGTCACTGCAATAATGTCTCTAATACACAATGAATGCACATGTAGTTGTCACTGCAATAATGTCTCTAAATACACAATAAATGCACATGTAGTTGTCACTGCAATAATGTCTCTAAATACACAATGAATGCACATGTAGTTGTCACTGCAATAATGTCTCTAAATACACAATGAATGCACATGTAGTTGTCACTGCAATAATGTCTCTAAATACACAATGAATGCACATGTAGTTGTCACTGCAATAATGTCTCTAAATACACAATGAATGCACATGTAGTTGTCACTGCAATAATGTCTCTAAATACACAATGAATGCACATGTAGTTGTCACTGCAATAATGTCTCTAAATACACAATGAATGCACGTGTAGTTGTCACTGCAATAATGTCTCTAATACACAATGAATGCACATGTAGTTGTCACTGCAATAATTTCTCTAATACACAATGAATGCACATGTAGTTGTCACTGCAATAATTTCTCTAAATACACAATGAATGCACATGTAGTTGTCACTGCAATAATTTCTCTAAATACACAATGAATGCACATGTAGTTGTCACTGCAATAATTTCTCTAAATACACAATGAATGCACATGTAGTTGTCACTGCAATAATTTCTCTAAATACACAATGAATGCGCATGTAGTTGTCACTGCAATAATGTCTCTAAATACACAATGAATGCACATGTAGTTGTCACTGAAAGTTACCTGGTAACAGACCCCTCACTTGCAGCTGTCCTCCAGGAGTCTGTGTAAAATGAAGATTTTGAACAGGTGCTCCTGGTGTTTGTGACCTCAGCTGAACTGTCTGAGCTGCAAAGGCAGTCAAGATTATGGTGTCAAGGAAATCAAGATTGTAATGACAAGAATAGTGAGTTCAAGATGCAAGTAAGTTTTAGTTATAGACAGGACACTTCTCTATCAGTGGTGTCAAACACAGCAGCGTACTTTAAAAAATGGAATACTTTATTAGACACTGGAAAATCAGTAAAAAGTAGAAAAGGTAGAAGAAGATGAAAAAGAGAAGGAAAAAAAGAGGAAGAAGCAGAGAACAAAAGAGAAGAAGAAAACTTGCGATATGATAACTTTATAAATGATGAAAAACAACATGGAATTATAAAAGTTATCACTGTTCAGCTCATCAGCTGCAGTTAGCTCTGTGTTATTTCAACATTAAATATCAAAACTGCAATGAATTCCCTGTGGTGAATGTCTCTCAGCAAAGATAAATAATCCATGGAACTGTGACTAACAAGTTTAACAACGGTCCCTGTTGTTTTCTTTTTCATCCTTTTTCTTTCTCAGCACGATGAGGCTTTTCCAATTGCCTCCTTTAAATAGTGTCTTCTCACACTGTTGTCTTTCTCTGGCATCCCTGCCTTCCAACACTGCCCCTATCATGGTTTCCAGGGATGAGTGGATGGCAGAATGGTTAAGAACACTAGGGATTCATGTGGGAGACCCAGGTTATAATCCTCGGTAAGGTTGTGGATATATTTCTGTTAGGAGCAAACATTTAATCCTAACATACACAGGCCATGGCGACAGCACTAGCCATGCGACCCTAAATCCACAGGCTTAAAGACACCCCCCACACCAAAAAAAAATTGGTAAATATCAATAGCAATGACAGTTTTGGTTTCCAGTAGGCCTTTTCTTTTTCTGTGCTCAAAGTAGTTTGTTTGAATTTGATCTTATATGGTAATTCCTGTTTCACTCCAGGCTTGGTTATGAGTTCTTGGCTTGTTATATTATCATTCCCTCTTAACACAGAGAAGTTACATTCTGTTAAGAACTCACAAGCTTAAAGAGAATAAGTAAATTAAACACCCCAGACAATATCAATGTCACATACTTTTTGTGGCTGGAGGAGTGGCAGGTGTCAAAACTCTGGCAACAGTGGTGGCTGCAGGAGAGATGAGTCTTGTGATGGTGCTGACGCCGGATGTGGTGGTGATGGTTGCACCTGGCTTTGGGGCAAGCACAGTCTGTGGTCGGATCTGAATGGTAGACCCTGGGATTTGCAGCCGGATGCCTGGTCGCAGCTGAGAGCCCAGCAGTGATCCTTAAAAAAATATGATCAGCATTAAGCAATGAAAACATTGAAATATTAGCAGCTGCCACTCTTGTCGTATATTTTTGTAAATAAGTACACCATTATCATCATCAAGTGCCTTGCCTATTAGCATGGGTGGTCATACCCCCACACAGCCTTCAACTGCATGCATAACATCAGTTCATGTGCCGATATCCCTCCATGACATGATAAAAGACTCAAGAATCTTTTCCCATTTTCATTTATCTCATCTTTTAAAATCTTTCCAGTGGTTACAAAATGTTCCAGTTGTCCTTTTCTCATAACACAGCCAATAATATTATGACTGCCTCTTTTCCCTTTTCTCATAACATAGCCAAAATATTATGACTGTCCTCTCTGATAAACTGTCTTTGGGCCGTTATCTTTTTCCAGAAAGAAAAAAAAAAGGTTTGCTCAATCTGGCTGTCCAAAGAATTTTAAGCCTTCTGTAAAACCACATTTCTGAGGCCTCAAGGAATAAATAATTACCATATACACAAAATAAAATAAGAAATGGAATAGAGAACGGCTGACAAACTGATGGAGAAAAAGCAAGGCGAAGGCAAAGAGATAGATACCAGGATAGCTTAGCCATATGGATGGGGTGACACTGACATGCTCCATGATTCTGGTGATCAGGTTGAATGGCAAAATGAATATGATGATGAGATAACTAAAGATCATATCACAGGAGATGTGGAGTACCGAAAGAATATAACTTCATTTACATATCCCAGCATGTGAGGTGAAATGACCGGCACCCTTTCACTCAAAGAGAACTTCCTAAAAACACATACGATAAGCCTGAAATGGGTTTTCAAAACCATACTGATATAAAGGGTGGTCACAAGCCAGGAAGAAATATATATTCTACAAGATGAAGAAAAATCGTTTATTAACGGTATCATGTCCTGGAGCCACATATAACATCAAACTGGCTGGAAAAAAAAAAAGCAACAGACAGTATGGTTCCTGATCGTAGGGGTCCAACAATGCAATGCTGGATAAAGGATACTCATGTCCTCTTTTCCCATTTTAGAGGGGAAACAGAAGAGACCTATTGCCTCCTAATAAACAAGTCATAAACTACTAGAGCTTGTTGAAATTGGATATGATGGGCTGAAAAGCCCAGTTAACGCACCTTATCTATAACCACAAACCAGGGTGCTAACCAACTCATTTTAAGGGTAAATGCAAAGAGAGAGGGCACCCTGTCATAAAAATATATATGGCTTGGGAACTAGCGAAGATTTTTTGCCGGGCCATGATGGCAACAACATTCTGTATAATGGAAAAGAGATATTTAAAATGCAAAACCATAGCTGTGTGAAACTAAACGTTCATTAAAGTTATCCGAAGAAGAACACTTGGAAATATCCTGCCTTTAACCCTATCTCACCATGCTGATCTCTGTCAGGCTAGAAAATATCTTTATTAACCCCCTATGTTATTTTATGACCCATGCTGATGGAGACATGTTTTAAGTAAAAGTAAAGGACCTTTCTCACACCAGTAGCGCATCAGGCCTGCGATGCTAGACTCATATTTGTATAGATCAATTGGCACTAGCTGCGTGATGTGTACTTTGTCTTCTCAGGACTTCACTTAGCACTGGATCAACCTGAAAGCCAAAGCACATTTTTTTTAAACATCCGACGATGTGGACTTTAACCTATGACCTTCAGACCAGCAGGCCAGTGACTAGGCACTTGGCTAGTATGAATCTTGAGGCATGCATTACTTCACAGTTATAATGTTATAGGACATAAACTGCCAAGATAGCTATGACACATATGGACTATCCTACGCATACAAGAGGCACTTTTTGGCAGTGAAAGAGCAAATTAAAACCCAAAAACTCACCTGCATTTGCGCTGACAACTTTGGGTTGCATGGTCTTGATAACTCCAGAAGAAAGCAAACTGCTAGGAGACGACACAGTCAAAGTTTTAAACGTGGCTCCAGCTTTGCCAAATTGGCTGGGGTTGTTGATGATGATAGTGGTTGCGCTAGCAGACGCCAGAGTGGAGATGGCTGACAGGTTGTTTCCCGTTGTTATCTTGACACCCTGGTTTTCTTGAATACGTTTCTGCGCCAGTGCTAGACGCTGCTGTTTCAGTTGCTGCTCCATCTGAGCTTTAATCTGGGCCGAGCTCTGCTGGGAGGTCACTATGGTCTGTTGATTTGCTGCTGCCTTATCTACTTTATCTTGAAGAGCCTGCCGCTGCTTTTCCAATCTGGGAAAATTGATTTAAGGTTAAACCAGCACTTATAAGTTAAAATACACTAAAATCAGTATCATTCATATTGTATGTATCTTCTTTTTATCTCTCAGTGGAACATAGGCTTAAACCAAGTCCAAGTTCTTGTGTCCTTTGTTATCTCCAGCAAACATCCAATTCCAAGTTCTCGTGTCTTTTGTTATCTCCAGCAACTCCCTTAATGTCTTCTCTATATTATTCTTCAATTTTCTACTCCACGTGCCCCACACTTCCATACTATTTCTTTTGTTATAGAGAAAGACCAATCTCAAAATACAATTAACAGGTTTTGTAACGGGTGTCCAATTTAATATTTCTTCACCGCTTATTTTACCGAGATTAATTTTGTTCATGCAATGAGTCTCAAGTTCATGATTCTGTCATTCTGTTCCTATTCTCTGCAGATATGATGAATTTTTCAAGTTGATCAGTCATTATTTTAGTCCCTTTCCATGTTTTTGATTCATACAGCAGCACTGATTAGAAAACAGAGCCAAATATTATAAATGACTTACTAGATTTAATTTCTACCGACCCCCCCCCCCCCCCCCCGTTTTTTTACACAAAAAAAGGAGGGGGAGGTGGGCAATGTGTGTGTGCACACACGTGTGCCAGACATAACAACTGACATAGAAATACACAAGTGAACAATTATTTGCGGAAACAATCAGTAGTAAACTGCAGATGCTCAATGGTGTTTCAGGTAATGAATGCAGAAGGAAGCTTCTATAACCCATACCCCCAAAACATCACAAATGCTCACTTTTCTCCAAACTGCTTGATTTCCCACAGCTCCAGAACTTCCTCCGGAACCCATACTTCTGTCACACTGGGCTCTGTTTGTCTCACAGATTCTATTTTCTTCCGCTCACGTAAGCCACTTCTCTGGGGCGTATATTTTTCTGCAAAAGAAGTTTCAATGTGCACATTAACTGCAGAGCTTAATGAGATATCTCAGCCCCAAAATTTAATTTATCAAGGTATTAAATTAGGGTTGTGCTACACGAATGAACAGATTTTCACCTGGTGCTGAAAAGCAGTACAGTATCGGAGAAAGAACAAGTTGAGCTAGCCTACACTAATAGAAACTTAAGTCACAATTACAATACAAGCAGTTTAGCCACCTTCATAATGAGTACTTTGGCTTTTTCACAGTGAGTAGTTTGCCTTCATTCACAATAAGAGTAATTTATTATTAGTTCTGAAGTTTAACCACCTTTCAAAATAAGAGCACATTTCTGTTCATATTGATAAACTGAGCTATCTGACACCTCAACTGTTACATGTATTTTGTAACTTAGCCACATTCTCAATAAGCAACTCTCCATATGGGTTCCAGGACCCAAAAGCATGTCATAAGAGTCAGCTAATTAGGGATGTTTTCTTTTAAGTTGGGGCGCATCTGCTCGAAAGACGAGGAACCAACAGCATACATACAAATAAGCCAAACATGTCAAACAGATGTGCACACAAAATTCGGGTTCTGGAACAAGATTAAAGTCCAGAAGTGGATGAACAACCAGAATATTCCGCCAGAGTCTACAGCCAGTGAACAATGACAAGCAATGACAATTTTAATATCTGAGTTTTACTTTTATAACAATTACATATCTTAGGTTTATCAGAGAGACATCAAGCAATGTGAAGTAATAAAGGCAGTTTAAAGATCTGAGTTTGACAACAACTACACACCCTTAGGTTTATCAGGAAGATAACAAGCAATGTGAAGTAATAAAGGCAGTTTTAAGATCTGAGTTTTAAAACAACTACACACCCTTAGGTTTATCAGAAAGACAATAAGCAATGTGAAGATCTGAGTTTGACAACAACTACACACCCTTAGGTTTATCAGAAAGACAATAAGCAATGTGAAGATCTGAGTTTGACAACAACTACACACCCTTAGGTTTATCAGAAAGACAATAAGCAATGTGAAGATCTGAGTTTGACAACAACTACACACCCTTAGGTTTATCAGGAAGATAACAAGCAATGTGAAGTAATAAAGGCAGTTTTAAGATCTGAGTTTTAAAACAACTACACACCCTTAGGTTTATCAGAAAGACAACAAGCAATGTGAAGTAATAGGCAGTTTTAAGATCTGAGTTTTAAAACAACTACACACCCTTAGGTTTATCAGAAAGACAACAAGCAATGTGTAGATCTGAGTTTGACAACAACTACACACCCTTAGGTTTATCAGGAAGATAACAAACAACATGAAGTAATAAAGGCAGTTTTAAGATCTGAGTTTTAAAACAAATACATACCCTTCGGTTTATCAGGAACACCCAGAGGCACAACGATTTTCCTGACCAAGAACTCTGACCTCAAACCATCCATGCCAGCCTCTCTACGTTTCAGCAATTCTGTAGTGGTTATCTCTGTTTCTGTAGAGACTGTGTTTGTGCCCCCAGCGGGAGGTTTGGCTGCCATGTCGTCCCATCTAATACATGCCCACAAAATCCTTAGCTGCAGAGCTGCAGCAGAGAGTGACTGCAGGGTCATTGTGCGATAACGCCAGGCGGTTTTAAACAACGGCCTTGGACAAGGGTATGGCCAACAAACACTGCTTAATTTGCAATTATAATTGAACAAAGCACTTTCTCTTTTTGCTCCTTGTCTGGCCATTTTTTTAAGCTCATTTCTGTCTAAAATAAGAACACTTTTCTTTTTTGATTTAGTTTCAAACTTGTGGCACATCGGCAAGCGACCGTGCTTGGAAATTTTCTTTTTCACACCAATTCTGGTAAATCTGGCAAGCTTGAATTTTTCAGATGTAGGGTGTTTTGGCGGCAGCCTAGCTTGAAGATCTTCTATACTCATATTAGCCACAGCAGCAGATAAAGTCTGATTGTTCAACAATGATTCCTTCCCTACATTTGGGGCAATGTTTTTCTCTGCTATCGTCTTAATCACTAAGTTTTTAACAATTTCTGATACAGATGAAGCCTTTGAGGATTCAGATTTTATCGGATTTTCAGCTGAAGAACTTGCTGCAGGTTTTTTCTCAGCATCTATACTGTTTCCTTCTGAACGGTCATCTGCACTAGCTGCAACTATTTCTCTTGAGGTATCACCTTCTATATCAACATCTTCATCCTCTATGCTCTTATCTGCTAGCAAGCTGGATACTGCATGTGAATTATTAGCTTGCTCTTCCTCATTCTCTTTATTCAACCCATCCTCCACATTGTCTTTACTTCCAGGAACATCAATATCATTAGCTTCATCTTCTTCCTGACTTAACCGACTCCCCTTTGACAAATGTGAGTCCATGCTGTCTTCATTGATCAGGTTATCTGGTGAGCCTTCTTTGCTGGTTCTACTGCTAACACTGTGGGACTCTGATCCCACAGTTGATACAGAGGTAGATGCTAGAGCTTTCTGTTGTCTTCCATCTAACTGCTGCTTTAGTCTACACATAGGAGAGTAGCACAACCCTACCTTGTCATTTCCGCCACTGCGACACAACAGAGAATAACAAGAATACAAGTTACTGGCCGTTAGAGAGCTGTCATCTGAAATGTCACCATTGATTAATTTTATTTCCTTCTCTGTCTGTTCATCTTTTTCTGTAATTTGCTTCTGAGCTGTTTCACTAGCCTGTTGTAGCTTCAGCTTTAATGCAATCTGCGTCTCAATGGTCAATCTTTGCTTCTGCTCAAACTCATCCTGTCTCAGCCTTCTCTCCAGCAAATTATCCAGTTTGGAATATGGTTTAGTCAGTTTGGCATAGTAAGTTCTCTTCTGCATAGCTTCACTGACATTAATCAGTTCAACATCAACCTTCTCTGGAGGTTTCTTTAACACTTCCAGTGCAAAAGCAGTTTCTTTATCCTCAATATACTTCTTCTTCAGAAAAGTTAAATAACTTTCACATGAAGACTGGCCCTTTTGAATCTTCACAACTCCACCTTTAATATTACACTTGTTACTGTTTTCTGCTAATTGTGGCTCATTTTTAATTCTGACATCAACTGCCAATTTACTTTCACCTGTAGTAACATTACCAGCCACATTCCCATCAGATTTCATATCTGAGTCTTCATTCAAATCTTCCATCTTGACTTCTTTATTCCCATTACTATTCTCTTCTGCAGCTTCCTCTGTTTCCATCATCTCCTCTTTCAAACTGGGCTTGTTGTCTTTCTGTGTCAAAATGTCTTCAGTGACCAGAGAGCTGTTCTGAGTTTCAGATTCAGTCTCCGTGTGTTTATCCTCGGCACCATCATCCATCTTCTGGCTTATGCCGCATGATTTAGCAGCCCTGACGCGCCGGTTGATCAGTTTGTGGGCTATCAGTCTCAAGCCCACAGAATCTTGGGGGACTGTGTTGATCTTTCGTGTGGAGCTGATCCACTGCCAGCCATTTCCACCTGTGATTCTGTACTCTTCTCCCTTTTGCTTCCAAACCTGGAGAATAATAACCAAAAAGTAAAATGCTGACACTGCATAAATACAATATATGAAAACTGGCAACTATGAGCATTACAAAAATTAAAATACGTGATGCAGGCATGTGAGAATAATGGAGGAATGAAAAAAGAGACATATACACTGGTAGAGAAGACCGTCTACAAGAGGATGATACAAATATTAATGAGCGGGGAAACCCCAAGATGAACATATATATTCTTCGCCCGGTGCCTTTTCTGAAACAGACAATAATGGTCAAAACTCTTCCCTTTTCATATTGAACGACATCTTTACTGGAAAGGCTAATCTGAACAACAAATGTCTTATGTAATTGAATATGACAACTAAAAGGCAACTACAATATAAATAGGCACTGCTCAATTATGTCGCTCAAAGAAAAAGAACAAAACATTTGTTATCCAGCTGTTAAATTTTCCACATAAATCTTTCTAGAATAATCTCTTTTGTTTAGTATACTCTCCCACATTAACTCATTTCTAAATTCCTTTCTTCTGTTGATATGTCCCATAAATGTTCTTGTTCCTTAGTTTTGATGAGTGATCCAGTCGCACTTGTTGTTGTCAGTAGCATCTCTTCTTTCCCTGAGAGTTCTACTAGGATCAGACTCACACTGCCTATCTCTAGTTTCCCAATCACTACTCTACTCTACTCACTGTCAACAATGTCAAGAGAAATCCCCGGTGTGTTGGAAAATGAACAGACAGAAATAATGGCTGGTTCTGCACTACATGGTGGTGAACTGATGCAGGACAAGCTGGGTGTTGTAAGGGTCCTTTGCGAGTGAGTGAACAGTGCAGAGGCATAAAGAGTTCATTACATTAGATTGGTGCTGCAATGAATTACTAAGGGATCTGGAGGACACTCAACACTCAAGGGAAAGGCTAGACAGATATACAATCAGACTGTTATGGTGTCATCAGAACTGGAACTCTGCACATTGCTACTGAAAATGGGGATGGAGAACTTAATACCCTGAGTGCTGTGAATTTGATTCCTGACTCTGTATGCAAAGTGTTGACTGGGTTTAGTTAACTGTGAAAAAAAGGACCTCTGTGAAAAAGAAATAAAAGACACCCTGAGGTTTGCTCAGTGATGCTAGTTTACAGTTTTTTCTGATTGACACTTGATAAACGATGCAAATAGTATGATGGTCAACTTTTTTTTCCAGAACATTTCCTAGTACCCATGTTAGGCTGGTTCAACTATGGAGCCTAGATTAATTTGTTTTTTTAGACCAGGCTTAATAGAGGATTTAAACACTAGACAGCTGGACTGGTAGGTGAACATGCTAGCAAATATGCTACAGTAGCTCCCTGGATTATAGTTTGATTATATAAAAACTTATGAACCTGCTTTACAGCAGACAATTTCACACTAACTGTTTTATGTTTATTCAACGGATCAACATCATGACACACGGGCGTAATCCTTAAGCGCTCTGTTCTACTTCTAACTGAAGCCTGAGTCTGAAGAATCTCAGTCCAGTGTACGAATTCCGTTGCACCGGCAAGGATCCTGAAATACTTTAGTTAAATTTTTAACTTCAAATGTTGCCAGGTCAGCATCATTAGGCTACTCTTTTTTTATTTCCAACTGCTAAGAGAATTTTTTTTTCACGTGCTCAACAATATACACGGGCGTCCAATCTTACTACTCAGAGTCCAGGGAAAATTACTAGAAGTCCACAGAAAAATCCAAGCCTTCACTGGGACTTGAACCCGGGACCTCCAGCACTCAAGGCAGACACCACACCTTGAGACCACTCAGCCCTCCTCCTCCTCCAACACTAACTGTTGTTTTCTTATTTAAATTTAGTTTGATATCTGAAAATATACGTAGAAGAAATATTACACATACTTGATGTTTGAGGCCCATTGTGTACTTGATCCATACAATTGGCCTTACTTCTTCCTCGTCTTCTTTCCTTCTTTTCTGCTCTTTCTCCTTCTTCTTAAACTCTTCCCGGTCTGTTGATGTAATGCGATTGAGTCTCAGGTGCCCTATACACAGACCACAAAAGAAAAAACGTTACAATTTTAATTTTAAGTTGCAGCAGGACATTACTGATAAATAAAGTGTGCTACATAATTCTGTTTGTTAACTGCAGTATTACAGCCTTGAATGTTACAACAGGGAAGTTTAGCATTTTAGGCTGCCCAAGCGGTTAAGAACACCAGGCTCTCATGTAGGAAATCTAGGTTTAAACCCGCCGTAATGTTATAGAATCATTTCTGTTAGGGGTAAAATATAAAATCATTACATGCAGTCCACTGCTACTGCATTAGCCATGCAACCCTAAATAATCAGGCTGAAAGACACCCCCCACCCCCTACAGTGGTAAATGCACACATTAATGGCAGCACTATCTGCCACACCGAGCCACACTAAAACGTTACACGTTACAATGGGTATAGAGCGAGTGGAAGACCTCGTAAAATATAGAGTGATGGCATTAAGAACAGCCTTACAGAAATGAACATCAGTCTTAATAGTGTTCTTGACAGACCTCATCAATGAACATTACATCTCCCCCCGACACTTCGATGAGGTACAAGGTGGAAGAGAAGAAGAAGAATGGCAGTTTTGGCATAGGATATTTGGTGCACTATAGCCTGAGTCTGGTGTGTTTGAACTATAACAACAAATACAAAATTGTTAAAATGTACAACAAATGTTATAAAGTAAAGAACCAAATAGATCTTTAAAATTCAAACTGATTCCTCCATTAAAATAAATTTTTTTTTTTTTTACAAATCTTTAAGGAGCAAATATAAACCCTATTTTTCTATTTAACTGTAATTAGTCACTGACAAACTGACACTGTTCAATAATTCAGCAGACACACATACAAACTACTGACCTAGAGATTCGTGCCACACTGGGTTCATGACACACGGTTTTATGCAGGCTTCTAAGATGGTTAGAGCCAGAGCAAAGTCCCGGGGACTCTGACACATCTGCACGGCCTTCTGCCAGTTTTGGCGATGGTTAGGCCAATTGGGGTGCATGAATGGAGCCTGCAGAATAAATGTTTACAAATTTTACACAAGCCATTGTGGTGTGGTGCTCAGTGCACTTGCTTTCCAACACAGTTTTACAAGGTCATGTTTAATCTAGCAGTGCTAGATCTGTTTCTCCCACATAGCTGTCATCATCGCCATCCTGTTTTAGGTCACAGTGCTCGCAGCCTAGTCCTCCATTCTGTTCTAGCGTCTGCATTCCTTTCAGAGCCATGGACTAAATCAAGTCCAGCGTCTTTTGCTTTTCATAGCAACATTTGTATTAGGGCTTTTTATTGGTATCCTCGTTTTCTCAATCCATGTTACCTATTTCAGTGCCTGTCTGCTCATTTCTTCTCAGGATATGTGCCCAAAATAGCACCAGCAAGCAGACTTCTTAACTAGATTTCTTTCTCCCAGCTAAGGCAACTCTAAAGTCCACTCAGCCTTATAAAATCAGCTTTTTATTGTTGGCTTTCCCATCTGTCCTGACAATGGTGTTTTGCTACGTAGTGAGGCATGGGAATCACAGCCCCGGTGTCGCCAGCAAGACCAGCTTAGGTCAAAAAGTCTTCCACAGTGACAGCATGGGATTTCAGGACCACTGTTGCCACTGTATGTTTTAATATGATTTTTATCAGATGCTCAGCTGAGCATTAAACCCTTTGCATAACATACACAGGCCTAACTAAACTACCACATCTTAGGGCAAGTATGCCTTGGAACTGCCATAACTCCATATATATATATCACTAAACATTTGCAAGCTTCCTCATTTACCTGCATTCCCAATAGACTGACTTTCTCCCTAACTAGCATGTTATAAAAGTTAACTAGCTAGAGTGTTTCCTTTGATGTCAGAGTGCAACTGCCTGAGAGGCAAGGAATCAACATTCTGCATACAAATAAGCCACATCTGTAAAATCAGATGCGCATGCATGCAGAATAAGTCAGGAAGTGGACAAACAACCATAACTTTCTGTTGGAGTTTAGAGCCCGTAAACATGAGGAAGACAATTCCCAATGGAGTACATACATGCCTTTAACCATTTTATGTTTGTAGATAGAAGTTCACGATCAGCTCGATTTTAGTAAAAGGTGACTAATTAATATCTTGCTGAAAATGGGTGCTGGGCAGAAACACAGATATCGCAACATAGCTGTAAACCACAATATAATGTGCGAATCTCTTTTTTAAGAGCAAAGGCAGAAGAAACTTAGTTTAGCCAATTCAGCAGCCTTGTTAGTTGCAAGAATGTTTTCTTGTAAAGCATGATCTTGCTAGATTACGCAGGAGCATGAAATATACCCAGCTGTTTTACTGTGGAGCCCAATTCCCTTTTTTTTTTAACAATGTGTGTATGTGTCCAAGCACAATGTGAGAAAAGTCAGGCAATAATTTAAATCTTCCATGAGGGACAGTATTTAAAATCGTGAATTTTCTATGTTCAGCTATCTTCTTCTTCTTTCTTCTCGTGAAATAGATTATCTATATCTACAATGCTGTCTCTAGTGTGAATTTCATTGTCTGTTGTAATTCAATCAGCAATCAGTAAAGTTTTGCACCAGTCTTTCTCTTAGCCAAAAGTTTTGCATTAATATTTGTATTTGTGACAGTCTTGGAGGACGTGATTTGTTGTCTTAGGTGCTAATTTAAATGTACATACGGCTGTTTCGCCAATGTTCGCTATCTGAACAATTAAATGAACAACCTGCTAAATGCAATTATCAAAAGGCCGATAAAGATGCTCTAGTTTGCGTTCTTGGGGTCAGGTTTTAATTTAATTCTCAAATAAACAAAAATGGGCATATGTGCACAATGTGTTCTGTGTCTGAGGGTCATGTCTGTAAGTGCACTGCTTAATTTGGGCAGCTTTCAACTAAAATAAAACTACCAATTACACACCTGAATGTTTGCCTCCAACTGTGATATTGTCAGTCGCAGAGTGGCAAGTATGCTCATTCGATTGCCCATCACGTTGCCATTCCACTTGAATTCTGAGGACTGGGTCAGGGAGAATTTGTGGCTGAGGTGCCGTTTCTTGTCCCTTTCCTCATTGTGTTGGTGCTTGTTGAGGGCCAAAGTGTTTGTCGTGTACTGGTTCTGATACTGTTTGTACGATCCTTCTGAACCTAGAATGAAACATTGTAAAAATTTTAACAGCTGGAACATAATGAAAAAGATTATGGCAAACTTAAGTAATGATAGCCAGTGTGATGTTGCCAACATTAGACATCAAGTGCTGATTGGATTATAAAAAATAGAGACTTGCAGCATATGCCAGAGGTGCTTATGGCATATAAAGAATCCTTTAATGTTTAAAAAAAATGTTTTCTTTTAAATATTTAAAGCCATCATCTGAAAGATTTAACATAAAGATTGCATTTACATTTTCATATCCAAAGTTTATTTTTTCTTATTAGAATGTTTCAGCAACAACAATAAAAATAACCTGGCTTCGATATGAGATGCATTTTTTAAGGGTTATTTTAAAGCCCTACCCGGCTGCAGTCATGGGCCCTAATATAACCTAAAGGTTGAACAGGGTTTCTAGGTGGCACTTTGTGTCACTGGGTGTTTATCACCTTGTTGTGCTGTCCTGATGGGGTCTAACGTCACTCACTCACAACAATTTAAATAATTTTAAAAAATGACAAGTACAATAATTCATTTACAAAATGTGAATGGTCTGGTCTTGTTCTTCTGTACGGATACAAGCACTGGGGACAAAGGAAATAGAACGGTGAAAGTATCAGGGACAAAAGAAGTAAAGTTCAAGTCAAGTCAAGATTAGAGGATTAACAGTTTTTATGGTGATAGAAGGATGTTTGCATTTTATATATATATATATATATAAACAGAGGAGAGTACAGGGACTGCAACACAGAGAAAAACAAACCCAGACAAATAAATGAAAACATAAACAGGCTCAAGCACAAGAAACATACAGAGATAGAGAAATAAATGCTTGGAGTGAACGAACGTAAGATCAAACTTTATTTTCAAAGGGTTACAAATTGGGCACGCAGGCCCGTCTAACATTCGGCCCTTCTAAGCACTCGTTTTTCAGAGTACCAATGCCTGATATCTAAAATGCATGTTATAGATATAGAATAAAAATATACATTATAGAATTTAATACATACATTATGTGTACACAATTTTACACACTCACATATATATATATATATATATATATATATATATATATATATATATATATATATATATATATATATATATATATATATATATATATATATATATATATATATATATATATATATATATATATGCTCTCACATTCTCATACATGCACACTCATATACAGACATACCTAACAATACATACATACATATATACATCTACGTATAAACACAAACAGAAAAGACACACACATACATTTTTGGATATATATGCACACACACACACACTTCATATATACACACCTATACAATCACATGTACAGACACCCACAACCACACATTTACACTCACATGTCAACATACATACACACATCAATACAAACACCTATATCTTTACACACATACATGCATACATACCTAAATACACACACATATACCCACATACTTATACATTTACAAATGCATACACACATCCACAAACATGTATACATACACACACCCACATACATGCTGACACACATTACATACATACCCACACATGCAAGCATACACACATATACAATCAGTGAGAGAAAAAGAGACAGGCAGGAGAAACACGAAAAGACAGTGGTGGTGGGGAGAAATACAAATACCCACACATACAAAAACAAACAGAAGCAGCCAAAGCACATTCATACATATCTGACAAATAATTTACACAAAAGGAAACCACCATGGTAAAAAGGCCAGACATCGCCTGCGGATTCGAAGGTTGTGGGACTATGTTCTAATGGAGCCAGGCTTTTTTTAAAGAAAATTATCTTGGCTCTCAGGTTGACCCACCATAAATGGGTAACATGTAAAGTCCCGAAAGTAAAGGCGACCGGCGTCATGCTGACCGCATCACCCACTGACAGCTGATTGGTCTTTGACATGTACGTCTAGCCCTATATGCCCAAAACACTTCAAGGCGTGCAAAGGAGCCTTTACTTTCCTTAATGACAGATAAAGAGAGACAGAAACACAAACACACACAAAAAAAGAGAAAATAAAATGAAGAGAAAAGAACTCATTAACGCATGTATATTCATACCACATTAACACTTCATTCCAGACTAAAACAATCATTGCAACACACAAGAATATAATCAAGCAAACAAACCTGAGACAGCCACGGAAGATGATGTTGAAGTCTGAGTCACACTACTTCCATTCTGGTCATCTTTACCAATGGGCTGTCGTGAGACTTGCAATGTGACCTTGCCTCCACCTCTGTTGACCAACAGCACCGTCTTTGTAGGACCATCTGACTTAGTGTCTTCACCATTTTTGTCGCCAGTGTTCAGAATAGACTGTCTTGCAGAAGGAAGTAGGGAATGAAGACTGATGATTTTAGTCTTTCCTTCAGTGGTGGACTTGATGGCTTCAGACAGAGCAGAACTACTACTCAAAAGGAGCTTGCTATCTGTTTTAGACGCATCACTGTTGTCCTTTATACCAGAATTTGCCTCTGCAGCCTGTTGACCTGATGTGCTATCCAATCTGGATTTTTTTAATGATGGTTCGTCACTTTCAGCATCTTGCACGCTTCCTTCAGAGGCTGTGACAGTGGTGGTGGTGATGGATTTGACAGATGTTACTGTGGATATTGTGGTGGTGGTTTCAACGAGTTCTGTGGTTGTGACACCACCCTTGCTGCTCCTCGATACTGAGTTTGTAACTTGCTTGGTGTGAGTGCTCACCAATGCCTCCGACTCGACAGTTTCAAAACTCTGAAAAATCAAAGTGAATTCATGAGCATATCTATCAATACAGATTATATGGAACTGAGAAAAGAACAGCAGACTCCCTAGTGTTATCAAAGCTCTTCTTGTCTTTTGTATTCTTCTTCTTTTGTCTATATTTTTTCTCCACTTCAGTCTATATCAGGGCTATTCAACTAAGATCATTCAAAAGCCTAAATTTTGAAAATTGGGATTGTCGTGGACCAGAGGCCCGAGCCCCAGCATTAAAAGATCATTATTACAATACAACAGATAAAGATCCGTGATCCACTTGTTAGGCCTCTGCGGGCCAAATTTGACCTGCAGGCTGCCAGTTGAATAGCCCTGGTATACATGGTTACCTAAATATGTTTTTCTAGGGACCCTTTTCATGCCTTGGCGCACTGGACATATTGTGCTAGACCTATATTTTTACATGCCAGGCGGTATTCGATGAGGGATGTTGTCAACATCATGTCAACCGCCTCGTGTCGCAGGAAATTACTTGGTACCCCTTTAGGCTGGGCCAACCTGGGAACCAATGTCAAGTTTTGGCAACAATCCACCTTGATGCAGATTTGAATCCTAGATCTTTAGGCTGGCAGGCCTAAATAAAGTATTATAACATCTTTTTTCTACCAGGTCGATGTTAGTGTTATTTATTCCTATTATCCTTGTCTTTTCCTTATTTTTGTGTATGTCTATTTGTTGTGACTTCCCCTACAATGCTTAATTTATCTATAAAATATTATAGCCCATTTAAAATTATATTTACAAACAAAAACTATTAATAGATATATGCAGTTCATTATTTTTAAAACTTGCCTTTTCATCTTTACTGTTGTCTCCTGAGTCTGTTAATCCGTCTTCTTTTCTTTTTTCCTCTTCGTCCTCCTTTTTCTTTCTCTCTTCTTCTTCTTGTGCCTTTTTCTTCTCCTCTTCTTTGCGCTGCAAAGCTCTTTCTGCTTGAAGTTTAAGCAACTGGGCTGCGGTGACAGTGAAAAATTACATCGGTTTATTTAAAACAAAATATTTTTAAAATTCAATAAAATATTAGTCAAATTAAGTAAATCAAACAACACAACACAATTCTATGCATGTATTTCGTGTTTTTAAATTTGTCTACTTGCCCACATACATAAAGTTCAACCAATTTTTGTTTTGGTTCACCCATGGGTATCTTGTCATCGCCATAGACAAAATATGTTTAAACATCTAACTGCCAATAATCACTGTAGAAGCGTGGGCTAAAACAACGATGGACTGGCTCCTGTTATTAATTTATTGGTTAATAACTACAGTGAATCGTGATGCTAATGATAAGTCTCAGTAAGCCCCAATGATATAGCGTTCGGTATGAATGAATCCACCATCTTGCTGACATTCATTTTGCTTGTATGTGCAAGAAATTAGCCGGAGGCTACTGAGATTAGTTTTCTAGGACAGCGGTTCTCAAAATGGGTGCCGCAACCATATGCCAGCAATAATCAAAGATTTTTCCAAAATCTGATTGATATCAGTGAAGACTGCAGTTTAAAACAGAAATATCATGAAGAAAACCAAGAAAATTTATGAATGCAGGTGAATTCAGAAGATGATGTTATAGGCAAGGCTTCAGTGCTTTCAATGCATGCTTACATTAAAAAAAAAAAAAAAAAAAAAAAACAGATACTGGAGCAAACTTTGCGGGTGAAGTGATTTTTGGGTTAAATCAACTTAACTTCTCATAAAGGAAATAATCAAAAATTCATCCAAACAGTATCATTCCTCCATTAAAAGATAACTGAACATTAAATGTGTAGTTTTTCTTCTTTTCCTAAATATTCAAACCGCTTTTAGGGTAGGTGCACTATGAAATTTCTTTTCCCTACAAGGGTGCTACCGCGAAAAAAGTTTAAGAACCGCTGCTCTAGTAAATTGCCAAGCAAACTTCTGGCAAAAAGTGAACAAAACAGCTCACAAGAAAACTGATAATGTGTATCAGAAATAGACAATACACTTTCTTTGGACATGTCATTAGAATGTATAAACAGAAAAATGTCAAGAGAGATAGAGTAATGTATGATTTATAACTGACTTTGAATGAACAGTAAAATATACACAACTAGCGCAACTGTTACATACATTCAGTTTAGTTCATACCATTTTCAACTTCCAGAACAGACTTTCGACTGCCTTTGGATGCCGCAGTCAGCTCTTCTGTAATGGACATCTGCTTGATGATATCCTCTTTCATTTCATTTATAAAGGAAATGAGGTCGGGCTCCCACTCAGGGTCAAGGCTGTCCAGAAGCTCTTCCAGCTGACACTTGGTGCTATAGTATCGGACTTCTTTTTCCCCTTCCCTAGAATCAGATATACAAACCAAGTGTTGATTACAACATGGCTGTAAATATTTTTTCATGCTACATGATATATTATATTATAGATTGATAAAATGCCAAAAGTACTTTAGCAAAAATACAAATGTCTAAACATGTTCTAGTCTTGAATGTAGAATTCTTTGAATTTCTCTGCATATGCTCTGTTTCTATTATAGCAACATATGTTTCTCGGTTTTATGTATGTAAGAAACTGGTTAATTCCAACAGTGATTCCATAGACCTTAGTTTTTAAAAATTAAATCACAGAAAGACACTGCACAGATTTTGCACATGAAAAGCCTTTTACTTACACAATGATTCTACGACAGATGAACCAGTACTTCCTGGCGTGTCTGTCATAGCCTATAGCCTCTTGTCGACACATCAGCCCACTTCTCTCTGCCTCGGATACACAGTCAGTGACTCCTTTCACCTGATAAAAATTTTAACGATAAGACAACTTTGCCATTAAAATAATGAAAACTAAAATTAAAAAATATCAGAAAAGTATCTTAGTGGAATTAATGTAATGCATTTTTTTTACAAACGTGTGTACTGTGGCTACAATAAAGACTGGCTAAAAATGCACCCACTGATGTCTCTGGAACTATTATGTGGTGAGGCCCCAATATCTTCCGCTGCATGGCTCTCACTCAAAAAGATTTTTTTTTAAATAAAGCATCTGCAGCGTACATGAAACAAAAGCATTCAGGTATCATGATATTGTTAAACATATTCACAACCCTTTGAGAATAAAACAATGTAATGAAAACATAGTTTACAGAAGAATATACAGAAGCTATTTTAATCCAAAAGCAGATAGGACCATTGTGTTGTGAAATGCTAGGAAGTTGTAACATTTTTGGTATTATGAAATGGGCAACCAATTTCCTTGCTAGTCAACTTATCTCCCTAATCTTGAGTAAAAATAGGTGCCTATCATTAAACACATGTTGAAGCAATGCCATGACTTGGCATACACTTGAATGTTTGTGAAGAAAGGCATAAATTAAGGAGACAGAAACATCTATCATCTAGTGCCATGCTGATAACCATGGGTGGGCACGGGCCATCCCTAAACCATCAATAAATGGATCAGGTCTGTCTTATCCATGCCATGTGGTCAAACCATACAAGAATACAGAAATCTATCTGTCATCTTCTGGCTCTTGTTTCCATCAAATCTGCCAGCCGTCTCTATTTTCACATTTATTTTTTTCTCATAACATGCACCTCCCCCACACCCTCCCTAAAATCTATATCTATAGCTCTAAAAGAAATGCTACAATTTTCATTTGTTTCTTGAAGGACCACTTCTTTGAAACAGGTATCATACTTTCAGAAAAACTGCTTGACAGACGCCGAAACACAGTTTTAAACCATTTGATAGGTAGAAGGCGAAAACATAGTTAGACAGCGATGCACAGTAAAACTATGTAACAGGTAGATGGTGAAACACAATAACATTATGTCAACAGTTAGACAGTCAGTTAAACTGTATAACATGGACATAAATGTTTCAGCACATTTACTGCTGTAACAGTTCTGGCTCTAAAATATACTTAAGTGTGTTGTAGACCAGAAACAGTAAAGATCTTAACTACTATATATATACACATCATAAAATGTTCAGTCCTGATTGTGTGTTGAGCTGTGTACTACATACTCTATTCAGAGATACAGAAAGCATACAATCAAAAAATTATACAATCAGTTGAACACTGTAATTCAAATAACAGGAAATTATAGAAACAATGTACAATAAACAGAAAATAGAAAGCTATTCTGTGCAACAATAAAAAGAAATTATTAATCAGTGAAACTATGTGCAATGATATGCAACACAAAAATAAAAAACATTCACGAGTGAAATTAAACAATAGCCAGTTAGAGAAGCTAAAACAACTATCTAGTAAAACTAAGGTTAAAAATTACTTTTAATGACTTCATCACACCAGGTTCTAACCGGTCTCTTAAAAGAGAATGACAAGCAGCATGTCGCACAAACTGTACCTCCAGTGACAATCCCCAGAGATCTCCGTAAAAATTTTTTTTACTTGTGACCCGTAGGACATGGTCCATAAAATAAACCTGTAAACTCCAGAGTTTGGTGAAGTGCTTGACCATTTAGTCATAGAGATCCACATTAGCAAAATGTGTTACAGACAGACAGATAGTAAGAAAGAATACGAATAGTAAAACTATGTATAAAAACAGGCAGAGCAACAGAAAACAACCAGAACGTAGAACTAAGTATAACAACAGGCATAGAAAAAAAATGCAGACTATAACATTATATGCAACAAGAGACAGAGAAACAAAACTTTCACCTAGTAAAACCAGGTAAACATTCACTGACCTGATGCGCTCTGCATACACTGCACAACCAGTCATCTTCTGGCACTTCCTGCATAGGTGGCTCCACACAGCCTAAGTGATAGACAGCTGAACACGTCTCACAGCAGAGCAGATCTCCCAACCTGTGAAAAGGAACATTACTTCAATAGTTTCCTCAACACTACCACTACAGATTAACATACCTTGCTGAAATGAGGTGTGTAACGTAATTAACATAAAAACACATGAGCATTTAAAATAAATTGTGACTTCCAATCATTAACCATAAAAATATCTATATTCTAAGAGTTCTTAATAACTGCATCCAAAATGTCCCCACCTGTTTGAAACCTCGAGGACTGTGCATGTAGTGCAAGCCTCATATTTTTGTAGACCAATCAGCACATTACATTAGCTGCCTTAACATCCTGAGACATTTTGTTTTTACCATGTTTAGGCTGAAAGCAGAGGTTAATTTTAAGAAATCTGCCTTGGGCCTTGGTTGGGGTCAGATGATATGACCACTTAACTGACAGTCGCCAATCTATAAAGCATGCAGAATATGGATACAATCATATTTCATAAGTGAATGAGAGTGTGTGGTCAAGAAGTTAGAATATCAGCCATAGGCTTGAATCTTCAACCAGATTATTTCATCTGATTATTTTTACAGTATATATAAAGAAAGTAAACTGACTTGGCGACAGTGAAAAATAAATATTTCAGAAATTATATTTCAAAGATGTAGTCATGTCTCTGCGTGATTTCACTTCTTTCAGACAATTTCATAATTATTTTGATCTGCCTTAGGAGATATTGTTATTTTTAATTTATCTCTGCACCGATTACATATTTTTAAACTAACAAGTAAGGTGCTAATGATTCACTTCCGCATATCAAGATTGGACCCATACAGCTCTTAATAAATCTTACTTATCTCCTCAAAAACATATTCATACAATATTCATCATCTCTCAATTTTTAAAAAGACAATTGTGTTGTGATTTCCCAAATAAATAAATGTGACTGATGGAGTGGGGAGAAAAGCCCCACTGCTTCGTGACAAGCCTGCTGCAAAAGCAGACTAATTAGGGCAGAAAAGTGTGTGTGTGTGTGTCTGTCTATATATATATATATATATATATATATATATATATATATATATATATATATATATATATATATATATATATATATATATATATATATATATATTAAAGCTTAGCTTTAAACCACAAGATGTGCCAATAACACCTTTAGGGGTAAATGCAGAAATAAAACAAATTAACATCTGTAAATCTAACAATGAAAAATGGGACAGAGGATTACTGAGAGCAAAAACAGCCTTACATCATAAAACATTAAACGGTAAACACTAGTTAACAGCACTAGGAAACAAAACTGTGAAGATGCTATTTTTCATGCCAACAAGCATATATGTCGTTTGATGAGATTATGAGATGGTGATAATAATGATAAAAATATAAAAGATCATATTTACTTGTGACAGGCCCTGCAATGATCGTCATAATGAATATTGCCTTCGTTGATGATTTCCTCCCGAACTTTGGTCGTGGCCAGAAATAAATCTGTTAATGTCTGTAGAACTTTTAGCTTTTCTGTATATGCTACAAATGGATAATCAGGACACTCCAGAGTCGGCAGAGGGGTTCGATATTCTGGATGCTTTTCACTATCCAAATATGACCTAAGTATCTCTGGCCATGTCATGGAATCCAAAAAGTACAATGAAACATTGATGCTGTCTTTCAAATCCTGCGAACCAAATGTAGTACCACTGTTTTCTTCTTCACGAAGCAAAGCCTTCAGCAAAGTCATGTGAATCTCAGCTAATAAATTACTCTGCTCTTCTGATAATAAACACGCACAGAAGTCTTCAAATGTAAATGGTGACAAACGCAATATAGTCCTAAAATGTCTTAGAATTTCATAAACACCAACAGCCTGTAACACATGTTCTGCTGGTAGTAGTAAGTCAGTTGCACTTGGTGGCAAATTAAGCTGTGGTAATTCTTTGTCATCTTGAATGTCTGGTGTTTTAGGTCTCTTTAATAACAACCTCCTGCGGCTAACCGAACTGCTGACTGTACTTAAACTTTCATCATCGCTAGACTCAGCATTAGATCCTCCAGAGTACGAAGCATCAGACCCATATGCATCAGTATTGTCTAGATCTGTGATGTCACTTGACCTGTCTTCAAATTCTGGCAGTGAGGAAATGTCATCGTCTTCTGCCAACAGCTGACTGACAAAGTGTCTGCCCTTATGAGCAGCGGCCCGCCCGCGAATCCTCTCCGACCGCCCATGTCTCAAATGGGTAACAGTTGACAAACCTGCGCTATTTAAATTCTCCTGGTTTTGATAAGCCTTAGGTTTTCGTAAAAAATTGGTGCGGTTTGTTGACAGAGGTGTTTTTGGCGGCCGGCCTCTGGCTCGTCGCGATCTGGTTGACATTTTCCGTGGTGAGTACCTGAGCTACGACATGTCAAAACGAAAGTAAGAGGCACATGTGGGTTGGCCGTGGCCTCCCTTGTGGACAGACAGTGTTTTTACATCCCATATTGAACATTTTAGGAAGCCGCCATTTCACAAGCTATGGTCACGTGACCTCTCCAACCTATCACAACACACTTGTAACACTGGATATCCACAAAATCCGCATATTTACGCCTCCCAGAAACTACCAACAACTCTATTTCATCAAATTACACAACTATTTTCACATAATTTTCAACCAACTCCAAGAAACCACTTCCAAGCTACGGCGTAATGAAATTTCCTATCGAGCAGCCCAGCGATCAGTGTGGCAAGAGCGCGTCTACTAAGCGTTGTGGCGATTGGCTATTTCTTTTAATAGAATTCGCGTAGGAATAGAAAATATTTCATTTAAAATTTCACTAATCATCAAGTTCTTTGTAGCTCCATAATTGTTCCTCTATCTGTATTTTTTAATAAACTTTTTCAGGTTGGAAAGTGTTTGTAGTTGTTGTAAATAGTCAAATTGACAATAAAAGCCCCGACCAATCAGAAAGCTTCTTTCATTTTATAATTAGAGCGTCATCTCGCGAGGTGTGCGAGATTCGGCGTGGCTTGGTTGAAGCCAGGTACACGTGACTTCAGCGGCCAGATCTCGAGCTTCTTCGTGTCTCTAACCCAAGCGTTGGAGACCATGTTACTCCTCTATCACATGCTTTGGGAGTTATGTCTTTTTTCTAGCACTGGTAAGGGTCATTCTGTTAGCACAAGCATATGAAATCAGATATATCTGGATCTTGTTCAATACAGACAGGGGAAATCATGCCTTTCTGGGTCCCTCTTCTAGAACACGAGGGGAAGATGTTCCTCTTGTCAGGTTCGCCATCAATGAGAAAACATTGTGAGCTCAGCACCTACTCCACCTTACAACATTTCTGGGCCCCAAAAATTGGGGGAGAGAGAGACAGCCCCTTCCTAACACAAAAATGGCGGACGGGGGGGGGGGTTAAGCCCAAACGACACCCTCCTAGCCGCCTAGGCACACAAAAAAATATTGAAGAGCTCAACCCCACCACCACCACCCCCATCTCCTGATCTGATCGCCCTCTCCCCAAATACTAGGGAGACCAGGTCCTCAAAGACCAGAACCCTTAGGTTCCGGCGCCTATGCCTCTTGTAGATCAGGTGTGGGAGATCACGTTTATCTTCTAGCACAGGCGTGGAATATCATTCATTTCTTTATCCCTTTTCTATCAAGGGCTTGGGTGATTTTTCTCACGGGTCTCTCTTCAGACAGTTACTGGTGCGATCGGAATTGTAACTAGTCGCTTGCTGCTGAAGATGGGGACGGGGCACTTATGAGGAGTGTCCCGAGTGCTGTGATGTCAATTCTTAATCCAACATTCTCTTTTAGCTCAGGCGTGGGAGACCAGGGTAGATCATTTCTCTCTGGGTCCTACTGTTATCTGATCTGTGAAGATTATATCTTTCCAGATCCCTCATCTAGTAAAGGCGAGGGAGATCATGTCTGTCTTCTAGCCCAGACGTGGGATATCATGTCTGTCTTCTAGCCCAGAAGTGGGATATCATGTCTGTCTTTTAGCCCAGACATGGGATATCATGTCTGTTTTCTAGCCCAGACGTGGGATATCATGTCTGTCTTCTTGCCTAGGCACGTGAGACCATGTCTGTCTTCTAGCCCAGACGTGGGATATCATATCTGCCTTCTAGCCCAGACATGGGATATCATGTCTGCCTTCTAGCCCAGACATGGGATATCATGTCTGTCTTCTAGCCTAGACATGGGATATCATATCTGCCTTCTAGCCCAGACGTGGGATATCATGTCTGTCTTCTTGCCTAGGCACGTGAGACCATGTCTGTCTTCTAGCCCAGACGTGGGATATCATGTCTGCCTTCTAGCCCAGACGTGAGAATATCATGTCTGTCTTTTAGCCCAGACGTGGGATATCATGCCTGTCTTCTAGCCCAGACATGGGATATCATGTCTGTCTTCTAGCCCAGACGTGGGATATCATGTCTGTCTTCTAGCCCAGACGTGGGATATCATGTCTGTCTACTAACCCAGGCGGGGAAGATCGTGTCTGTCTTCTAGCCCAGACATGGGATATCATGTCTGTTTTCTAGCACAGACATGGGATATCATGTCTGTCTTCTAGCCCAGACGTGGGATATCATGTCTGTCTTCTAGCCCAGACGTGGGATATCATGTCTGTCTACTAACCCAGGCGTGGAAGATCGTGTCTGTCTTCTAGCTCATACGTGGGAGATCGTGTATGTCTTCTTGCCTAGGCACGTGAGACCATGTCTGTCTTCTAGCTCCCCCCCCCCTCCCTTTTTTTTTAAAATTTAGCACGGAGGTGGTTAAGAGCGAGTCCTAGTAGGGCTGTCGAAATTGGTACTTTCGTACAAATTTTGTGCTTTTTAACTTTGACTAGCAAAACTGTACTTTTGATACCATGCTTTACATTTTCACAATCAGAAACGACAAATTCAGCAGTCACAAATATGATTGTGTGAAAAATGTCACGGTCACAAACAACAAATAACAAACGACAAATTACTCCCAAAATAAATGGACACCAAGAACAGTCTTTAAAAAATCAAGATCAGTTTATGCAACTCATTAAAAAGAGCGCACAGAAGATACTCACATCTCCCTTAGCACATCGATGAGATAGTTGGTGGAGGAGAAGGAATGGAAAAAGAGCAAGCGGTGTAATTAATAATAATAATAATAATAATAATAATAATAATAATAATAATAATAAATAGGAGGAGGAAGGGGAAAAGAAGAAGCAGAAATTAAAGTAGAGCCAGCAGTCTATTCCTCCTTTTTGCTATATCCTGAGCCATCTATTCGGTATTTTGGTCAAGTCTGGGAACTCTTCGTTGTCGACTGAGAATTTGGAAAGAGCACGTGCGGGAATATCCTGACTGAGGCGATGTGTCAATTCTGGATCGATTCCTTCATTCATTCGATATCATGATTTGATTATTTACACAGAAGGTTCAGTGTCAAGAGGAAAAAGAAGTGCTTGGGGCTTCTTAGCAAAAGTTAATGGTTGACGTTTGGTGCAGGAGAGCCTAGCATATGATACCACAACATCCAGCTTAAGAGTGGAGGCGGTCACTGCAGCTTTCCGCTGGCTAGAGAACACACACACACACACACACACATATCGTGATTGTAACTGACTCAGAAAGCATGCTGAGGAAGATCAGGACAGGCATGCTTCGTGGAGAGTGGCATGCTTCACTGCGGAGGAAACGGGTGAGGAGCATTGTCAAGATTTTTTCACCAGGAAACGCCGGTGTGTTGGTAAATGAAAAGGCGGACAAAGTTGCTAGCTCTGCACAATTTGGTGGAATACTGATGCATGATAAGGCAGCGGAGGTTAGTGCCTCGTTGGAGAGCGTGTACAGTTCGAAAGAGCAAATGGAACACCACAGTCTGGTTAGACTGATGCAGCGGGGAGTGACGAAAAGTTCTGGCAGATGCTCGAGGCTCAGAGGCGAGACGGACATTTAATCAGAATGTTACTGGTACCATTAGTATAGGAACTCTTCACTGGCCGCTGAAGATGGGGACATGGCGCTTATGGGAATGCCCCGAGTGCTGTGATGTCGGTTTTTGAATCAACTCAACTCGATATCATGAACTGAATGCTGTTCAACGCAATTAGTCTCTTCCCATCAAATTTCACACTGAAGGTCTTCGTTTACTCTGGTAAAGTGTCTCCCATTTCAGAGACTTTTTTCTTCTTCAGATTTCTTCTCTAAAGACGTCCCTCACCTGCGGATCCGAAGATCGTGGATTCAAGTTCTGACGGTACCGACTTTTTTTAAAAAAACTAACATTGGTCGACCCACCCCCTAAATGGGTACTAGGTAAAGTCCCGGGAAGTAAAGGAAACCGATGTGGTGTTGACCATGTCACTTACCGAGTGCCGATTGATCAATAAAATATAGATCATCCGTATATGCCCATTACGTCTGAAGGCGCGGAGAAAGGTCCTTCACACAGCTTTGCTTCCCTTCAGGATGTACCCAATTCATCGCCATATTCTGTCTAGTAACTTCTTCTTCTTCTTCTTCTTCTGCGTTCGACATCAGTCATGCTAAACATTGAGTCCCGTCTGGGTCACAAATAGGATTGTGCGTTTAAGGTCGCAACCGGTTCCTCCATAGCTTCTCTTTCAATGTGGCTCCATTGGGCCAGATCCACAGTCTTTGCTGGGAGAGGTCAGAACAGTACTGTAGTATGTGCCCAGGGGTCTGTCTTTCTGCTCCACAATCACAGGCAGCAGATTCTTTTATGCCTATCCTGTACAGGTGTGCTCGAAGACCACAGTGTAACTAGTAACTATTTATGCCAGATGTTTATCAGAAGCAATTGTTGAGCAGCAACCTTACTGTTTTTTGTTGTTTTAAACAGTCCGCTGTCAGAAGCAAATGAATCGATTCGACAATTTCTGAGCAGTCATACAATCAGACATATGAAGCCTTACAGAAATTAGAATTATCATGATGCAAAAGATATTCACCAATAATAAGATGCCAATAAGATGTGACTTAGGAAACAGGGATGGCTAACCCAATCAACGGATGCTTCAGAAAAATTATTATGGCCTGGGACTGCTTACCGTCTCAAAGAGTCAGATGGACGAACTAGAGCGCATACAGAACGCGGCCATGAGGGTCATTCTGAGTTGCACCAGAGTCACCCCAGTGGTGTGTATGCGATACATCCTTGGTTTGCCGACGGTTGCAGGTAAGCACAAGGTGATGCAGGCGAAGTCATATCTCAGGGTAGCTGCAGACACAGACCACCCTCTGCAAGAAGCTCTGGGTGCAGTTAAGGGTCAGCGGCTGACAAGAGGGAGGTCATGGATGGCTCAGTCAGAAGACACAATCAGAAAGGTTTGCATCCTTTAGAACATTAGGTGAGGAGAGGAGTGGGTCAAAGTGCCACCTGAGCAGTCAGACTTGTGTAGAGTCATAATCACGCTGAGCCGGGAATGCAGAGACTGGCCAGCGGGTGCCACAGAGGTGGAAATTCAGCAATTAATTCAAGATAATGCTCGCTCAGAAGATTTGATCATTTACACAGACGGTTCAGTGTCAAGAGGCAAAAAAGTGCCTGGGGCTTTTTAGCAAAAGTTAATGGTTGACGTTTGGTGCAGGAGAGCCTAGCATATGATACCACAACATCCAGCTTAAGAGTGGAGGCGGTCACTGCAGCTTTCCGCTGGCTAGAGAACACACCACACACACACACACATATCGTGATTGTAACTGACTCAGAAAGCATGCTGAGGAAGATCAGGACAGGCATGCTTCGTGCAGAGTGGCATGCTTCGCTGCGGAGGAAACGGGTGAGGAGCATTGTCTGGATTTTTTCACCAGGAAACGCCGGTGTGTTGGGAAATGAACAGGCGGACAGACTGGCTGGCTCTGCACAACTTGGTGGAATACTGCTACATGATAGGGCAGACGTGGTTAGTGCCTTGTGGGAAAGCGTGTACAATGTGGAGGAGCAGATGAAACACCACAGTCTGGTGAGATTGATGCAGTTAGGGGTGACGAGAGGTTCTGGCAGAAGCTCAAGGCTCAGAGGAAAGGCAAGACAGACGTTTAATCAGAAAGCTACTGGCACCATTAGTATCGGAATTCCTTGCTGGCTGCTGAAGATGGGGGCGGAGCGCTTATGGGAATGCCCCGAGTGCTGTGATGTCGGTTTTTTAATCAAATCAAATCATTCAGAAGTCGGATGTGTCAGCCGAAAGGCGCAAATATCGCATCAGTTCTGTAAACGAGCACAACACAATTACATCTTCGAATAAACACAGAAAATGAAAAAGAAGAAGAGAAGAAGGAGAAGAACTGCAGTGAGAAAGTTTTAGAGTGCTATGTAGAATACGTGTTGTTATCAGGTCCTCCTGTATATATAAATAGAGAAGGCCGTGGTTATTATAATGCATGCTAGCCTCGAACAGTCTTGCTGAAAAATGTTTCACTTGCAGCTATGATGAAGTTTGAAGTTTGAACAACGGATCAACATCATGGTCACATGGGTAGTAACCCATAAGTTCTCCGTTCTTCTTCTAACTCAAGCACAGTGCACAGGCTCTGTAGTATCGGCGAGAATCCTGAAATACTTTATGTCGATTTTGAACTCTAAACTTTGCCCAGGCAGCGCCATTAAGCTACTTTTTTCGATTTCCAGCTGCCAAGGGATTACTTACCTGCGCCCAACTATGCACACGAACGTCCGATCTAACTAATCAGAGAGCAGAGGGAACTACTAGAAGTCCCAAAAAAAAAAAAAAAAAAAAAATCCTAGCCCTTACCGGAGATTGAACCCGGAACCTCGAGCACTCGAGGCGAAGATGCAGTTTTTGAGATGATAGAAAAATGATTAGAAAATTAAATATAAAGAGTTTTTGTTTCTTTGGACACATTATGGGAAAGAATGGACCCGAGAACCAGGTAACGTTGGAAAAATTAATGGAAACCAAAATTTCTTAGCCATAAGGATGAAGTGAGACAAGAATACTGACCTGATCAATGATTCTAGTGTAGGGTGACCTTACTATCTTGAGCTGAAAAGGGACATTCCACTAATATTTTAAGCTTTTTATTTTCAAGCAAGTTGGTATACCAACGCCATATTTTATGAAATATAATTTATTATTATGAAAATTAATATTAATCATTAAGGAACTAATACACTTAAAGAACGTGAGAATTTATAGACCTATATATTGTATAAGAAATACAAATTTATTATTATTAAAACCCGTTGTTCTTTAGTTGAATTGCATGCTTTCTTTTTATTGGTTTACTAATCTAGTTAGTGCATAGATATTGTCCAATTAAACTTTTTCTCTAGCTAGAGTGCATACCTTGTTCTTATTGGTTCCACTCGTGTAACACATATTTCCACCCTGTTTCCGTTTGCTATGTATAGAAGTCGGATGTGTAGTTTGTCCCGTTTGAGTGAGTGAATTAGATTTAACCCTAACAGGACATCCACCAAGCGATAAACACACTGTGACACAAAGCGCCACCATGCGGATGAGAATCAACCAGGGAGAGGTATGAGAAACCCCGTTCAACCGTTTGGTTATAACAACCAGGGTGGGGTTTTAAAACCACCAAAAAATTTCGTCCGACATTAGGACGCGGTTAATTACTATATATGTATGTATTTGTCCCTTTTAACTTTTTTTCTGTAATTACACTGTAAGCTATGTTTTATGGTTCCACTCATGAATTTAGAATATATATACAATTTTAGTTTGTGTATGGAAGTATATTGTCCGGTCCTGGTGAAAACAGGATCTATGGTTGGTAAAAATTTGTGGGATGGCGATATAAAACAACTTACTTTTGTCAGTATGGCACATGATAATGATGATGCCATCGGTCGTCTTTCTTCGCAGGTTATTACTGGATTGGATGAAGGATTCCGTGAAATCAGCTGATGGTGTCTGGAACCAGGAACCGCTGGTTTAATATTGCACCATATTGTCATAAAATAAACATTTTTCAAATATAAAAATTACTTAATTACAAAAGTTAGTTTAAATGCAGGTAGTACTGCTTTTTAATTCTGTGCTAATTGTATTTTGGTTATGGTAGCGTTAAATTTGAGTTTTTAATAATGAAACAATGAGGCGAGTAGACTGCTAAATTTGAATAGGCTAAGTTCAACACGCAGAAGATGTAACATAAAAATAAGTACTACTTAAACTGAAGCAATGCAGGTCAGTACAATTCCTAGTTCGCTACATATCGGGTTGAATTGTACTTGTCTGAAGAATGTTGAAGAATATTTTTTTTTTACTTTAGTTACTTTTGATTATATCAACAATAGTAGAACGTCTCTCAATATATATATATATATATATATGTGTGTGTGTGTGTGTGTGTATAACAGTGGAGATTCTGTGAGAATGGATATGTATTTGTCCGAAAGTCGGTGTTTGTGGCTGAGGCGTTGCGAACGCGCTTTGTAATGCCGTGGTGCCAGGTTCGATCTCTGCTGCGGACGGGTGTCTTGCGATGGTTTCGACCGTGGTACTGAGAGCCGACAGTCTAGGAGGCAATGGCAAACTACTGAACGTAAATTTGCCTAGAAAAACTACAACAGCCAGAAAGTGCTGGGGCTTGTTCTGTAACGTCCTGTAAAGGATACACAACTAATCTTTTTTTTTAATTTGTCAGAAACATATGTCACTGTACAGGATATTTTGGTAGCTGTTGAAATAAACGTTTAGGGCAAATTAAAACGGACACTTAGGTATATCAATACCCACCCAAATAAAGATGATTCATGTAGATCTTTTAGATAATAATGTTTGCAGTTAATAAATGTATCTTCAACCAAAAGTGGTTGCACGTGTGCTATCTTTATTAGAGCTGTCTTAATCTAGACAAAAACTCGGGTGCAGTTTTACTACATAGTAAATTATCCAATAACTAACTACAGTGTGAAATTGTTGCATATAAAATAAGACATGGAAAGTGTGATGTTAATTACTAGAAGTAATTTTATTCACAAATCCAATTCTTCTGGGCAAGGCCATAGCTGACGACCTCATCAGGGGTGAACCACAAGGCAATCTCTCACTCTGCAGTTCCATCAGAGTAACTACGCTGACATTTGTTTCAGTCAATGTCAATAGCAAATTCTCCTCGGATGGTTCTAATAGAAGACTCCTGTAGATTTGTAGCACCAAGCATCTTTCTGCCCATGCTCGCGACATCTGTGCCTTCCCAAACCATCGCAAAAACAGGGCCTGAGCTCATGTATTCGATGAGACCAGGGAAGAATGGCTTGCTGGACAGCTCAGCATAGTGGTTGTGCAGAAGATGCTTGGATGGCCAGACGAATTTGCCAGCTACCAGTTTGTAACCAGGCTTCTCAAAACGACTGATGATTTAACCAACTATTCCTCTCTGAACACCATAGGGTTTGACGGCAAGCAAGGTACGTTCAGCTTTGGGGTCTGCCATGTTTCGATTTAAAAGTGAAAAGATGGAAAGGAGCTTAGCAACCATGCAAATGAAACCCGACAGGAACAGAGGTATGGCATTCGCCTCGAGTGCCAACGTGTATATTGTAGCTCACTAAAAAAAATACCATGGCAGTTGAAAATTGAAAAAAGTAACCTGGCAAAATGTGGAGTTAAAAATCCACCCAAAGTATGTCAGGATCCTCGCCGGTGCAGCAGATTTCGTGCACTGCGTTGAGATTCTTCAAACTCAGGCGTAATTAAAAGTAGAACGAAGCACTAATGTATTACATCCGTGTGCCATGATGTTGATCCGTTGAATAAACATATTAAAGAATTTAAATAGCTAGGAAGTATATTCTCATAGGACAGGAGAATATAGACTGGGAACTAGAAACAAGATACCAATGATCCAGAGCACTTATATACCAACTGACACCATTGTTAAGATGTCCAAACATAAGTATAAGCACCAAGAAACAGATTGTAAACAGCATATTCATACCAACACTGTGCTACCAGTGCCAGGCTTGGACATTATCAAAGGCATATGTACAATTAACACATATGGAATGAGATGTCTGAGAAAAGCCGCCAACTTAACGATCCAAGACAAAGTTAGAAATGATATTATCAGACAGACTGTAGGAACAACATCACAGAGAAGAAATAGAAGATTAAATGGGCTGGTCATTTAGTAAGAATACAGCCAGAACAAATACTAATGCAGGCGCTGCACATGAAAAGATCTGAAGTAAAAGCAAGAAGCCGCCCGAGGAGAAGATGGACTGATGACATCAAAGAGCTTCTGCATTAACATGGAATGACAAAAGACTTTGCTGCCCATCAGGTAATGGATCGCAAACTGTTTCTTCCCACAACGCTTAATGGTAGAAGTGTAAATTGATGATGATGATTCATGAAATGCAGTACCAGTACAGAAAGAGTTGTAACTCACTGTCGTTGGTAGTGTATTACTGCCTGTGTTTAATTTACCGCTTTTACTGTGCTGGCAGGGGGTCCATTGAGCTTGAAGACTAGTGCTGTCGCCACAAACTATGTAGGCTAGGATTTTGTGTGTGGCCCCCCCCCCCCCCCCCCCCCCCCCCACATAAGAAACTTTTAGAAACCCATAACCATGCCCAGGATTCAAACCCGGATCTCCCATATCAGAGCCAAGCATTTTTAAAATTAATCTTTCGGCTTGGCCAACAGAAAGAGTTAAGAAACTGTCTTTACTCTTACTGTCATCATGTAGCAGATCCTTTGCAGAACGTCGCTCTCATCACAGTCTGCCTGAAAGAAACTTGGTCTCTCGCCAGTTCTCCCGCCTCATGTACTTTCATACTCAAGGAGCCACTTATATCCTGTGCTCATCTTCGTGTCGGTCGGCTCCTGCCCCTCCTTCCTGGTACCATGCCTTATGCTATAATTTTTTCCAATCCGTCATGGCGCTTGATATGACCAAAATATTTCAGCTTCCGAGAAAGGATGCTGTTTATTAGCCAATCTTCCTTGATGTTCAGATCTTTTAAGATGTCAATATTTCTCCTCTTCTTTGTCCAAGATATTCTGAGAATCTTTCTAAAGCATTTCAGCTCAAAAGCCCCTTTTCTCTATCTTACAACCCTTACTGAAGATTAAATCAGGATCTTCTACATGAGACCCCAGTACTGTAACCATTGGCTATCTGCTTCTCATTCAAACAAAAAGAATACCATTGGTTTACTGGTTTAAGCAAAATAATCTTGCGTCTACTAGGGTTTAAACCAGGACAGCTGTCTTGGAAGGAAAGTGCCCTGACCATCATCGCTATATGTAGGCATGTACAGAGCACATGGTGGCAACATTCTTGAGTGACAAAATGTTAAAGCTGGCAAAATATAACTACTGGTAATAAAGTGTTCATATTTTAACTGCTTTTTATCAATATGAAACCTGCATTAGATTTGTGTCCTGACATTAAAATAGTATCGCAAAAGGGATGGTGATGATTAACTAAGGGAAGAGGGGGCATAAAATAATGACTCCGCAGAGGCATCATGCATCCTAAATATGGCACGGCTTACCACTGTGCCTCCCTATGCCATCAGGACCCCATACAGCCATCGGGTTCTCCAGGGGCTAGAAAATATTAATGTTGAAAGATATAAAGCATTCATTTCTATTTGCATTAACTACCAAACGACTTGCCATGTGCTTGCTGAGTTCTGTTTACATTATACTTTTTCATCAATTCTTTTTTTGAGGTCTCCATGGTGAAGTGCCTTATGCTGTGAAGGTCATGGGTTTATTTCACAGAGGCATCGTTCATTTCATGGGAGCAATTTTTACAGAGATCCTTATGGATCAACACTGGAGCTTTGGAATTTGTGCTTTATGTGTCACTCTTGACAGTGGCTAGCCATTCTGCAGAGAGATCACGCTATATGGGATAACCTGGGGCAGAGAACTTGATCATTTCTACTGTAAATTTAAGCTTTAACCTTAATGCTTTATGCCACATCCACTTGTTACTTTGTCTACTTCTCTCCAGTAGTGTTATTATTGTAACCACATCTGACTCAAAATTTATTTAAGTAAACATTTTCTGGGATACAATAAGTTAAGTAATATCTGCTTGGTACTGCCAGAGCTGAGTAGCGGCTGCTGAAGCGGTTAAGAAAATTGGGTCTCATTCAAGAGATCAAGGTTTAAATCACTGATAATGTGCCTTGATGGAATTTTCTTAAATTGGGCGTAAATAGGAAATCTTTACCTGCACAGTTTGGGCAACTGTACTAGCCGTGAAGCCCTAAATCCTCTGGCTCAAGACCCCCACCCCACCCCACGACACCCTTTTTCTTCTTAACTCAAGTTTGCAGCAACGCCTGATGTGTTAATGAATCTACCCCTTGATTCTCATCCATCCATGGTGTAATTTAAAAAAAAAAATTGGGGGGTCAGAAAACAGTAATAGAATATGTCTTTCCTAAATGGTCATTACTTCTTCATATACTGCCACTTAGAATGTAATGCATTCACGACGTTCCATCATGTTTTTTTTCCTCACTTTAGAATCTCCTGTGCAACCTTCTGGTATTGAAAGAGTTAAACTCCATGTGGTGTGGTGTGGTGTAGTCACGTTTATCCACAACGAGTTATCTCTGACACAGATGATCCTCCATGCCATGCTGTCAGACTGTCCAGTATCTTCTTTTTCAGTCTCCTTCTATCTCTCTTCCCCTCTAACTTTCCTGCTGTCATGATGTTCTAAATTTCTCCTTTTTATGACATGACCAAAGAATGTCTCTTTGTGATGTGGGCAGTCAGTCCCCTTGTGAGTTAATTTCTTTTAAGACATCTTCATTACTCTTGTTATCTGTCCAGGTATTCTCATCGTTTGTCTATAAAACCAGTCACATCTTCATTTCTCTTGTTATCTGTCCAGGTATTCTCATGGTTTGTCTAAAAAACCAGTCTAAAAAGTTGTTAATACAAGCAGTAAAGATTAAAAGAGTTAACCACTAATTTGAACTAGTAAGTGTGATTTGTTTTGATTTGATTCAAGAACCGACATCACAGCACTCGGGGAATTCCCATAAGTGCTCCGTCCCCATCTTCAGCAGCCAGTGAAGAGTTCTTATACTAATGGTGCCAGTAGCATTCTGATTAAACGTCCGACTTGCCTTTCCCCTGAGCCTCGAGCATCTGCCAGAACCTCTCGTCACCCCCAACTGCATCAATCTCACCAGACTGGTGATCCATCTGCTCCTCCGAATTGTACACTCTCCCACAAGGCACTAACCACGTCTGCCCTATCATGTATCAGTATTCCACCAAGTTGTGCAGAGCCAGCCAGTCTGTCCGCCTGTTCACACTAGTCAGTGTGTTCAGTAACTAACAGTGTCTGTGGCCACTGAAAAGCATGATATTTTAACTGAAAATTTTGCTTAAGTTGCTTATTATAACTTTATAACTTTTAAAGATTAACTGATTTTTTATATTGCTCCAAGGACAAAACGTTTGTGGGATGTAGTATTATAGATCTGTGTTATCAGTGGTCATAGATAAAAAACTGGTTTTTAACAGGAGGGTTTAAGATCTGATAATGAAAGGTGTTTATTTCAGACCAATTGGCTGCAATGATGCACAAATGATAGCAGACATAACCAGTAATTAGGATGCTATCCTGCACAGAAAATATCTGATTTGACATTTCCTAAGTAGCAGTGGAAAGGTAAAGTTTATATATGTCTTATTGTGTGTTTGTATGTGTTGAACATTGCATACATTCTACTGTTTTTTCCTCCTGTTGTTGAAATATTGATGTTTACAGTGTTGCTAGGGGAGTCGCCGTGGCGGAGTGGCTAGACGAGCACAGTGGATCTGAAGGTTCGCTTCCTGGCGGAGCTGGACTTTTCTTAAAAAATGACCTTGGCTCCCAGGTCGACCCAGCCTTGAGTGGGTACTGGATGCAGTCCCGGGAAGTAGAGGCGGCCAGCGTGATGCTGACCACATCACTCATCTTGTGCCCTTGGTCTATAAAAATATAGGTCTAGCCCTATACGCCTAAAGGCGCGTAAAAGGGTCCTTTACATTTTTTTTACAATGTTGCTATGACAGCACATATTATGAACAGCAGAACCGTTTTTTTTATAAGATTTGATTGTTATTACTTTTTACATTGTGTTATCTTGATAACTTTAAACTATTCTTTGGCCCAGTTTCAGTATCAGGTGACCGTTGTTTTATCTGCTAACTTGTTTACTGATATATAAATAATTTTCTCTTTGTGTTTATTCATTGTATCAGAGAGAGATGGCTTCTGTAGGTTCTGTGAAGGAGAAATCAACATCGGTAAAATATCACAGAATTGATATGGCTACACATAAGACACAGTTACATGATAGCCCACTGAAGGAAACAAGATTTGGCAAATTTTTGCGCAGAACCGTGAACTGTACAGGACATTTATTGGCATTGTGCCTTTTGGCAGTGTTCTGCATATTTGCCTATGTTTTCATATCTGGTGTCATAAAAGAGAATGCTCCGAGCATCAAAACCACACACAAGAAGATTGCAACTCGAGCTGATCAATGCACTAATGTGGAAGATAACAGGTTTGATTGTTTTCCTGAGAAGTTCGGATCCTCAGAAGGAGTTTGTGTCAGTCGTGGATGTTGTTGGAGAGCTACTACCAAACCAGATGCTGCTCCATTGTGTTTCTTTCCTACAAATTATGAGGGGTACTCTGCTTCAGAATTAACATACACCTCAAAAGGGATTACTGCAACACTTCAGAGGTCTTCGAGTTCATTTTATCCTAGAGATGTGAAAACTCTGAAACTGGTGGTGGAGTATCAGACGAGTACCAGACTACGTCTAAGGGTAATACCTTCACTTTCTTTATTTTATTGTTCAGTTCCAGGTGTAATAACTTCACTTTGTCTCTGGGATCAAGTGAAAATATAGCTGAACAGACATAGTTTAGTACATGTTGAGAAGGTTAAGAAAATGACCCTCAGCGCAGAAAGAAACAAAAAAAAAATCATACTTTTAACCAGCTTTCTCTTGGCTGAAAATCTTTATTAAGACATACTTTTATTTTTTCCTTTAAAACTTACCTTGGCCTAAAATAAGAATGAGATAAATCTCCTGGGAGGTAAATATTCTTTGCATAATGTTGATATATAACCCACTGTGTGCTGATTGGTCTATACAAAATGTGAGTTTAGCATCATATGCCTGATGGGGCACTGGTTAAAAAATGGTTCTCTTCTTTATCCTACTGGAACCATCAGCATTGTGACTCTTCATATTCTATTAAGCAAGTGTACAGAACACACCTGTGATTGACCAAATTATATAACTAATTAATTTATTTATTTATTCGCTTTCTTTAGTTATTTTGCTCTTTCAGTTTTCAAACTCTTGTGGCAGAAATCAAGTTTGTTTTTACTTTCAGAATGTATAAATACACAGTGGAAGAAACAACTGTTAAAGTTGCTGTTGACCAACATAAAAATATGAGAACACTTTATGTGATAGGAAAGAGCTAATCACATATCATAAATTGCTCGGGACTTGAGTTTTTGTGTTCATTTGAGACCACAAAGGTTCAGCCTAGGCCATACAGTGACCAAGATTTCTGTGCATGTATTTCTTTCCCACAATGGACATCACAGTACACCACTACTTGATGTAGCTGTTTTCTGCATCTTTCCATCTTTTCAGACCATAGTGTTATTTTGTGCTATATGGAGGTATGAGAATCACAGCCGATGGTGATGGTGAGTGCGACCAGAGAGACCAGCTTGCACTAAAGAGGAATCTTTCACATTATCACACTGATATTTCAGGACTCAAAATAATGGTAAAGGTGAGAGGATCGACTTCATTGCACCGGGTTTTATCCCATATGGCTCAGTCTCTCTCCAAAGAACAGCTATCTGCCTGAAGAGAGTGAGGCACAGAGCATGACCTCTATAGCTACGGGCAGTGATCCCCAGAGATCTACGTAAAAATTGCACTAGTGAACTTAACAACACCACTGTGATATAAACCCATGACCTTCAGAGCGCTAGGCACAAACAACTTGACCACTTCGCTGTGGACTATTATTGCCTTCAAATGCATTTTACATTCTTCTTCTCAGTTACTTAGCTCTAAACCTGTTTGCAGTCCTTTTCTCATTTATCCATATTCTCTTCTAATTTTCTCCCTCCAGCCACTGTGATCCACAGCATCCTGTTCCCGTAAATCTACCTCACTACCTGTATCATTTATGCCCCACTTGCACATTTCTTTTAAATCATAGTAGAAGCCAACCCCAACATCTTCTGCCAATCTGAAATTCACCTTAACAATATCCTAAGAGACTGTACCATCCTCCATGTGTCCTCTAGTCATTTAAGCCTTCAAATACTTACTGAGCTTTGAGAACACTGTTGAAACATAGTGTAACAGTAACTGATGTCCTAATTATAACTTTGCATAAAGTTGAGCAAATTATCAGGGATTTGTCCCCCTGTTGGATTGGCATCCAGACTAGCCATCCCACCTTGTTCATTATGTCAGTGCTTATATAGTAAGTGGTCAGGTCTTGGTCAGATATGACTTAGCTACCGTATAACAGTAGCTGGTACTCCCGTCTTCAGTTATGCCGAATATTGGGCTGTGTATACCAACTTAACATCCCATATTGGGCCAACGGCTTCGGACGGAGGAGCACATTGGGAAGGATACTAGCCTTATCCCAGGAAGAGGAAATGAAACCTGAAAACTTTATGTTATGGCAGGTCCTTCGCCTTGGCTTACAGCTGGTCTAGGAGGAAAGCTCCGACAGGCAGACAGATAGAGCACTGCTCTTCTGATCCGGCAGCTTCTGCAACCTGCCTCGTTCCAAATGTACTGGTTTTACGTTTCCTTTGGAGTAAACAAGGCAGGTCGAGGGAGGGATCATTATGCATGGGCAACATATGATCTCTACAATACTGCCCAGGCTTTGTGCTATGGAGAGGAGGAAGATTTTTCTTGACACGGGCGAGTCTTGCTAGTCACACTCGCCATCGCCATGGGCTGTGAGTCTCATGCCTCCTCATAGCGCAATATAGACAGAAAGGTACCAATGAATGATATAGTAAGGCCTAAGAATTTAACCCAGTGACTATATTTGCTAATTTTTTTTTTAATCCACACCAAAGGGCAGACACCTTAAAGATACATTAACAAATTTATAGCTAATTTTGTTTTCATGAAAAATGTTGCAAATTGCTATAAAAAGTAGCTTACTATTTAGTGTTTTCTGAGACAAAAAATATAAAATCATTGTAAAAATAATCTTGTTTTCCAGATTTTTGACCCAAACAATGCCAGATTTGAGGTGCCACTGGATACCCCTTCTGGATCCTCGGATCTTCACAATCCACTGTATACTGTAACCATTCAGCAAAATCCTTTTAATATTATAATACAGCGTAATTCTACAGGAGCTACAGTGTAAGTTTTCTGTTACTGAGTAATATTCAGCCAAGAAAAAACTTGCTGGCATTGTCATCTTCATAATGTAGTATGACCATTGCTGTTATCTCAGTCTGTCAAAATATTTTATATCCTTTACTAGCTTCCTCTTCTCATGCATATTTATCTCTCAAGGCACTTGAGTTTCCGGTATCCACCTTTTTGCTGGTCAGTCTCTGCCTTTTCTACCACAAACCATACCTTTCATCACTACTCTTTCACAAATATTTCAGTTTCTGAGACATGATGTTGTTTATGAGCATATTTTTTTTTGGGGTTGAAATCTTGTTGAATATCCATTTTTTTCTTCTGTATCCACAGTATTCTAAGAAAGTTCCTGTAACTTTTAATTTGAAAAACCCACAGGGTGCATGTTATGTAATAGTAAAATGGTCCTTAATTTACATTCACATTTTGCCTCATGAACAATGTATTTTTCTTGATCTTTAATTTGTTCTTGATGTTCTACCACAGGTAATACTGTTTAACCTCTGTATTGCTTTGGTCAGTCTCAGGCTGAATTCTTTTGAACAGACCTATTTAATCTAATTGTTTTAGCATTAAATGTCATTATTGTTTGATGTTATTATAGTTCTTGTCGTTTTCTGTATTCTGTTCTTTGAGAGATTAACTTTGAATGTTTTATGTTAGTTCTGTGAAATACAGAATTATTGTTGTTATTATTTTTAGAACTTCAGTGAAATGGAAGGCCATAGAGATGTGGTTTCTATGTAGAATGTTAAGAATGCCATAGGCAGCTGAGGAAGTCTTTTTCTTCTGTGCATTCTCTTGCTGTAAAATCCGGTAAAAAGTGGTGAAACAAGCTTTTATGCTTTTACTTTACTTGCATCAGGATAAGAGAATTGTTCTGTTTGGTCATGTTGTGTAACGAAGGACTTCAAAGAAGGTTGTGACAATCAGGAAGATTAATGGTGTTAGAGACAGTTTGAGAGAGAGAGAAAGAGAGAGAGAGAGAGAGAGAGAGAGTGTGTGTGTGTGAGCTGGTTAGGTTGAACAGAATGGCACAGAGGAAGTTTACTAGCAGTTGAAACTAACAAGAACGTATGGAGAATCATGAGTGGCATTGAGTTTCAGTTTAACAAATAATGATTAGCCATTCTCACAGCACTATACCCCTTAGATTTTCATGTTTAACATCCCAATTTATCACTTAAATTGTGTTCTATTTATTCAACAAAATGTTATTAAGCACTGCATGAAATTAGTGTTCTGTTTTTTTTTTTTTTAAATTGATTGATACCCTTTTTTTTTTTTTTGTTAAACTGCTTTCTCATGTTAATGAAAAATGTAATAGCAACTGTGTTTAAACAATGTCTTCATGCCTTTTTTTAGATTAATATATATACGGTTTTTCAATACCTAATTATTGTTGTCCAGAGGCTTTTTTGCAGGCTTATTTTGTGTCTTTCTCTGTCTCTTTCTCTATGACTACATTAATTTAATGTGATCAATAATTTCAGATTTGACACCAGAGGTGCAGCCCCTTTAATCTTCTCAGACCAGTTCCTGCAGATTGCCACCCAGTTGTCCACAAAGTACCTGTATGGATTTGGGGAGCACCGTACAACATTTCTCCAGGATCTCACCAAATGGAGGCGACTGGTCTTTTGGAACAGAGATGATGTGCCAAAGGTTAATTATTAACAAATTTCCTTTTGCTGAAATTACATGTGTTGGGTCAAAAGGTGCATATATTGGAGTACTATAAACCGCAACACAAGGGTGAATGCAGAAGAAGAAGAAACACATTTTCTTTGATCTAAGTTTATGTTTCTTTCCATGAACTAGAGAAGGCAGTAGAAAGAATTTCCTATCGGGCTAACCCTTTCTGTTATCTTTTCTACTGATGAAAGAATGTACTCTAAAAAGCATGGTTCCTGAAAATAGAGGTATGTTTCCTTCAGAGTTAAAGCACAACTGCCCAAGAGATGAGGAACCAACACTGTATTCAAATGATCCAGATCTGTGAAATGGATGTACATGCAAAGCTTAAGCTCAGGTTTACGAGCAAAACCAATGTTCAGAAATGGGCAAACAACAAGAACTTTCTGCCACAGTTAACAGCTGGTGATTGCCAGAAGTGGACAAACAACCCAAGCTTTTCACCACAGTTTACAGCTGGTGATTGCCAGAAGTGGACAAACAACCCAAACTTTCCACCACATTTTACAGCTGGTGAATGCTAAGAAGAAGACAACTGTCTGACAAGTTTCCGTCACCTTTGTGGGTCAGATGTAGTGCACACTACATATTCGCATGTTTTAGGCTTATCTAATCATACAAATTCTATAACTAAGTCTTTCTTGACCTTCTCCTCTGCCCTCTAGTGTCATACATATCCATTGTTCTGACAAATTATTGGAACTGCAGATCTGTTGAACAGGGTAGGGTATTTGCACCATTCACTTTAGCTGAAGAACAGGTTGTAGAAAAACAATTAATACTTCATGTGTTCCATGAAAGTATGCGAACATTTCTAAGTAATTTAAGTAAAGTAAAGTAAAAGTTCCCTTTTAATGCTTTCAGGCGTGTTGGGAATATAGAGTTAATCCTATATTTCATAGACTAATCGGCACATTGTGGAGAAAGTTTGACTGGACCAAATGTAGACTTTTTTATTTTAATTCTTCAGTCTAGAATTTTCATGTCTTGCTGAAGCAGTTCTCCAAAAATATCTAATCCATGTAAACAGCCTACAAGAGAACATCTGTCACTGTCACTTGTGATTTATTTTTCTTCTTCTTCTTCTGCATTCATCCTTAAAAGGGCAGTTAGTATGTTATGTTGTGGCTTACAGCTAGGCTGCGATGTCTGCACCTTTTGGCCCAATTTTAACAAACCCCTAATTAGTCATCTTTCACAACATGCTTGTTAGGTGGCATTGGGTCTATTCCTACCCACCCTTAAATAGGGTCCTGGAACTAATAATGGGACAGGTTGTTTCCATTCCAGTTTGTGATTTGAAATGTTTGAGAAAAGCTGCTGGGTTTTCCAGAAGAGACAGAATATTAAATGACATAAAAATATGATTCGATTGTACATTTAATCCATCAAATAAAGTATTTGTACATTTTTTAAGATGAAGCCTAATTAACTGCTGATAAAATCATGCACCTACAAAGAATAAGAAAAAAAAAAAGATATAGGAAGACAAAGAAAACAGACAACTTCAAGAGCATATTAAACAAATACAGACATGTTGCAACTAAAACAACATGTCTGGTCAGGGAATGCAAGCTAAGCCCCCTCCCCCCACCCACTTACACAACACAGTAAGTGCAGATTAGGGGAAAAAAGAACATCATCTGCCTAGGGATAGACACACAAAAAACTGACGAAAAAGTGTGTTAGTAATTATAAACTTCCAGCTACAATTATAGACACAACTGTGGGCAAACAAAATGAAATAATTGTTATTATCTGCTGGCTAAATGGTTAAGAACACTGAGCTCTCATGCAGAAGACCCAGGTTTCAATTCTCTGTAAGGTTGGGGATTTGTCTCCAGCGCACGTTCGCATGTCTGCATGTGTGTAGTGGGGGGAGGGGGCTTTCCTTAATCCTCAGGCTCAAAGACCCCGCCTACACCTCATGAGTGGTAAGTACAGGTAGTAATGGCAGTTTTTGTGTGTGGCAGTTATATGTTATCACAACCGCTGTAACTGCACACTGGGTACTAATACTTGCTCAGTCCTCTGATGCCGCAGTCACTGTAAGGTACCTCTGTTGATTGTTCTCATGTGATGCTGGGTATGATGCAGCAGTAGTGATTGTATTCTGCCAGAGTATTTTTTTTAATGAATCCTTAAGTTATTATGAAAAAAAAGCAAAAAAAAAAAAAAAAAAAGACAGAAAGAAATGTGAATTTTAATACCAAATGTTTCAGAATGTTTCTTGATCCTGGAGACCGAAACAAGTCTATATGAATGAAAATTCACTCATACTTTTAGTTTGATAACTGTGATAACTGGCAGAGAAGTATATATATTAATTTTGTGGATTTTGAGAAAGCTTTCGACAGCATCCATAGAGAGTCTATGGAAAATTTTATGACATTATGAAATTCCTGAAAAAATTGTCAACATAATTGCTCCCTTCTATAAAGACTTTTCCTGCAGTATAAAAAAATTACAATATATTTTTCCCAGTAAAGTCAGGTGTAAGACAGGGATGTGTTATGTCATCTCTCTTCTTCAACCTTGTGATTGATTGGATACTAAAGGACACAGTAGACAGGACATTGAGAGGCATACGATGGACTCCATTCACCGTGCTTGAGGACCTTGATTTTGCAAATGTTATAGCACTCCAATCACATAAACATAAACAAGAAAAAAGTAACAGACTACACAGCACAGCAGAAATGGTGGTACTGAAAATAAATACAAAGAAAACTAAGATCATGACAAGCAGTCCAAACCAACAACCAGTGACCATAAATAACCAAACTCTTGAAAATGTAGAACATTTCACATATCTTGGCAGTGTGGTGTCCCTGCCGGGAGGGACCGAAGAGGACATACAGTCACATCTGAACAAAGCTAGAGCAGCTTTTGGAAGAATGAGGCAAATCTGGAAATCCAACAATTACTGCAGAGAACGAAACTCCGGCTCTACAAGAGCATCATTTTGCCAGTTCTTCTTTATGGAGCGGAATGCTAGAGAATAACCAAAAAGGATGCACACAAGCTATCCACCTTCCACCACACATGTCTACGTAGAATTATCAAAATTTTCTGGCCAGATACAATCTCAAACACTGAACTACTTCAAGTCACAAACCAAGAAATTTAGACAGTATGATAACCAAGAAGATAATGTGGAAGCTGCGTGGCAAAAATTTAAGAACACTCTTCTGAACTGCCTAACAACACTCTGTGGTATTAGATACACAGGAGGAACGTTCAGGAAAAAAACAGCATGGTGGAATGATAACGTAAAACAAGCAGTGAAATGTAAAAAGGAGCAATACAAGAAATGGCTAAGATCCCGCTCAGATGAGGATTATATCAAGTAACAGAATTGCCAGGCGACAATCTGCAAGAGAAATTAAACAATCCAAGGAAACATCCTGGATCATGAATGGGGAAAATCTTACCAAAATCTGTGCTAAATCTAGTAGACAGTTTTACACAACCATTGCAAAAATGAGAACTAGAGATGAACCATTCCAGCCATCTGAATATGTCAATGATAGTCAAGGCAAACCCATGCATGAGGAGGCAAGATCAGAGAAAGGTGGAAAGAATATTTTCAGACTCTTCTGAATGTAACAGGAAATGAGGAAACAGTACCATTCACACCCAGATGTACAAACGAGGAACAGCCTACAATAATCGAACAAGAAGTCATAGAAGCAATCAGATGCAGTCCCAAAAATAAGGCATCAGGTGTTGATGGAATATCAGCCGAGGCAATACAGGCTTGTGGAGAAATTGGAGTCACCTGGCTACTCCACATATTTAGGAAAGCCTGGAATGAAAGAACTGTACCAATAGACTGGCAAAGAGCCCTTATAGTCCCAATTTGGAAAAGAAAAGGCAATAAGCTAGATTGTAACAATTACAGAGTCATCTCCCTTCTAAGCCATGTAGGAAAAATGTTTGCCAAAATTCTGGAACAACGAATTAGATCCGTTGTAGAACCAATCCTGAGCCCATCGGATTTAGAAAAGGAAGAGGGTGTACTGACGCTATTTTTGCTTTAAGACAAGTTAGCGAAAAGACAATAGAACACAGACATCAAATGAACATCGCTTTCATAGATCAAGAAAAAGCGTTCGATAGAGTAAACAGAAATTTATTATGGAAAGCTCTTAAAAACTACGGTATAAATGGAACAATTTTAGATTGTGTTAGGGCTATCTATAGACAAAGTGAAAGCGCCATTAGAACAAGAGCTGGCATCACAGACTGGTTCCCAGTAACATCAGGAGTAAGACAAGGTTGTGTATTATCACCTTTACTTTTCATAATATTTATGGACAATATTAATAAATTAGACATAACACCAACAGATGTCGATAAACAGGAGGACTTCAATGAGCTGCTCTTTGCCGACAATCAATGCCTATTTCACAGTGATAGTAAACAGCTGCAAGACCACATAAACCTACTACACGACAGTTGCCTCAAGCATCATATGAAGATCAATACTGAAAAGACAGAAGTCATGAGCATAAGTAGAGAGCAACAGACCATCGACATAAAGATTCTAGATCACAGCCTAAAACCAGTGCAAGAATTTAAATACTTGGGAATTATGTTTACATTCAATGGTAAAATAGACAGAGAGATTGAAGCAAGAATCCAACAAGCCAACAATGTCGCATACCAGCTTGCCCCAATTTTAAAACACCCTGCTGTCCCAGCTGAGATAAAAAGACAAATTATAAATACAATCTTTATACCGACATTAGGTTATCAATGTCAGACTTGGACATTAACAAAAGAACACGAGAGAAGACTAACCACCTGTGAAATGAGATGTTTGAGAATGGCTGCGAATAAAACCAGAAGAGATCGAGTGAGAAACGATGTGATTACAAGAACTATTGGAACCATACCCATCGTTAAATTTATTGAGGAGCAAAGAATGAAATGGTTTGGTCACATAATGAGAATGGAACCAACGATGCCAGCATCAAGAGCATACAACATGAAAATCAAAACACCAAGAGGCAGGGGAAGACCAAGAAGAAGATGGATTGAAGGAGTCACGGACAACTTGAGACTTCATAACATCACGGCATATGAAGCGACTGAGCGCGCCCTGGCTCGGTTGCCGATCATCTGATAGACTGCGACGCCTAGCGGCACAAGCAGATTTTGACAAAAGTAGAAGAAGGTAACCAAGAGAAGATAGAAATGGCTTGGCCATGTTATGAGAAGGAATCCTGATATACCTGCCGAAACAGCTCTCACATAGACACCAGAGGGAAAGAGAAAACAGGGGCGCCCAAAAACAACATGGAGACGAACGATGGAAAGTGACCTGAGTGCGGCATCTTTGACATGGAAAACTGCACTGAAGATTGCACAGGACAGGAAAGCATGGAAGGTCCTCTCTGAAGCCTCATGTGCCACTAGGCATAATGAGAACTGATGATGATGATGAACTGTGGGAATAGTTCTAATCCTAACTTATCATACTGTTAGGCTGATAGCAATGAACATGATTCTCCTTCTTTCTTATCATACATTTAGTGTGGCAACAATAGGAATGATTCTCATCTTGTTTTGTCAAACTCTTAATTTGATAACAACTGGAATGCATTGTCTTTGCTCTCATTCTTTTAGTTTGATTTAAAAAAGAAAAAAAGGATGTGTTTTGATCTTTCTTGTGATACTTTGTTTGCTAACATTGGGAATATTTCTCATCCTTACATATCATACTTTTAGCTTCATAACAATAGGAATCAATTTTATCCTATCTTGTCATACTTTTAGGTTGATAACAATGGGTATGGTTCTCATCCTTTCTTCTTGAACCTGGAGACTGGAGGGCCAGCATCAAATGCAAATGCTCATGGTGTCTTCTTACTCAACAGCAATGCCGGAGGTGAGTGATTACCTTTAGGCTGGATGATGGTATTTGTGTGTAACCTGGGACTGAATACTGGTCTTTAGATTGATGTAGGGTCTAAAATCAGAAAATAGATCATTATCACCCCTGCCTGAAAAAAGTGCTGGATAAATTTCTGACATAATGCTGATTTCATCTCCCATTAGTGCTGACTAGTATATACAAATATGGGACTGGCAGCATATTTCTAAAACCAGGTTTGTTTTTTAAAAGAACAAAGGTACCAGCACTCATCAGTGTCTGTTACAGTGGCACTGAAACAAATGATGCCAAGAAAAAAGGTACCAGCACTCATCAGTGTCTGTTACAGTGGCACTGAAAAAAATGAAGCCAAGAAAAAAGGTACCAGTACTGGATGCCCTTGTGTACTAAAACGAAATCCCCCCCCCCCCCCCCCAAAAAAAAAAAAAAACATCAGTGGGTACAAATCGGGTGCAAATTCAAGAAACTCCATTCAGCAAGGTTATATTAGGGCCATTGACATTTACAAAATAACCTGAAGTCCAGACAGAGTAGGGCTTTATATAGGAAAAAAAAAACCAAAAGCCTAATGTGTTGATGTGAATGTCACAGAAAACTGACTCGTAGCATCAGATTTTGATAAATTAAATAGTTTGGCCATATTAAATGCAGCAGTTGCTTGGAAAGAATTGTAATGGAAGGAATGATTCCAGGAAGGAGAGTAAGGTGTTAAACAGCATAAGGAACACAGCGTATTAATGTTAATATGAGCATAGAAGGGTGTCTATGAAGGTGTATACAAGACATCAGAGATGCATTCGTTTTCAAAGCACATAGGGCTGGAGAACTGGTTAGAGAAAGGGAAACTTTTAGGCCTGCCATGACGAGAGTGAGTGTAAAGGACGTGCTGTTTGATGATGGGTATGAAACTACATGAAGTTGTAAACAGGTAAAGGTAGTAAACATTGTATTGTTTAAAAATAGTCACAAATAGTCATAATTGATTGCCTGGCATATTTTACTGTATCTCGTCGAATGTATTTCTACAAAATTACATCTAAATATAGTGAAGCACAAGAATGAATCCTTTTCACATTGATACACAAATCACACTGTCTTTTGTTACACTATTTCTCACTACAGGAGATTCAAGATTAGAATGTGATTACCACACAGTTTGCGGATTTATCTCATGCTATTTTTTTGTTTGAAAATCTTACTGTTTGCAGCCTTTAAATTAATTTTGTTTCGTAATTTACTCTTCATTTAGTTTTACTCTTTTTCATCAAACCAGAGGTAGCCACTCAACCTGTTGGTTCTGGCGACAATGGGGCTGTCACGTACCGAATGATTGGAGGAATTTTGGACTTTTACATTTTCTTAGGCCCAAGTCCTCTGTCAGTAGTTCAACAATATTCTGACGTTATAGGTCGCCCATACTTTCCGCCATTTTGGTCTCTAGGCTACCATATTTGCAAGTATGGAATTAATAATGCAGCAGACCTTCAGAATTTGATCAACAGAAATCGTGCAGCACAAATTCCATATGTAAGTATTAGTACTTAGATAATACTTTCCGAGTACTGAAGTTTTGTCTTTAATATCTCATCTTTGAAGAAGGAAACAAACATATTATGACCACTGGAAAGATCTGTGGGGAAAAAACTGAGAAAGACAACACAAGAAAATTCTTGACTGCCTTTAATCCTGGCATGGAGGGGTGTCAGCACACAAACTGATACATGCTGTTGAAGATCCCAGATTGTGGAGAGGCATGATCAGCCATGCCAGTTGGCAGTGCACTTGATGTTGATGATGATGATGATGATATGATCTCATCTTTTCCCTATTGAAAATAAAAATGAAATCATTTTAAAACTTTCCGGAGCAAACTCTTTCTAACACTGAAAAAGGATTAAAACAGTTAATCCTCTCTGTCAGAAGACACAATGGAGATACATGTCGTTTGTTATCTGAATTTTAAAAAGTATTTTAAAAGTATAAAACTTACTGTTAATTGTTTTGTTACATGTACAGTATTTTTTATTTTTCTTCTTCCTAAATTTTGAAACTGAATTATCATTCAACCTGTTGGGTGCCAAGCAAAAAATGTATGGGCTTTTTAAATTTAAAATCCATTTCAGGATGTTCAGTGGAGTGACATAGACTACATGACTAGTCACAGAGATTGGACCTATGACAAGGATAGATATGGAAATTTGCCGAACATCGTAAAGGACTTGCATGACAATAACCAGAGATACATTGTCATGGCTGTATGTTGTTTAATGTATTTACTTTTGATGAAATGCTATTAATATTTGTTTAGATTGTTCTCTAGGAGTTTGAAATTTGTGAATTTAAATAAATCATCCACAGTAAAGTTTGACGTTTGTAAATTTAAATACATCATCCACTAAGGAATTTGACATTTATTTGCTTTATATAAATCTCTCACCAGAGAGTTTTGCATTTGTAGGGTTATATTGAAAGCAATAATTTTCATGATTTGTGCTGACTTTATCTTGCAAACTGGTTCTGTTTCACTATAGATGAAAGGTTACAAAATTCAAAATTATGTTTTGAAGTTGTGTCTCTACATTGAAGCAGTATTTGGGGATATTAAGTGGTTAGGCCCCAATCTCTTCAATAGTGCAACTCTCCTACTTCTGTGGACAATTTACCATTGCAAGGCCATAAATAAAAAACGATTACAGTTGAATTTACAGACTGCCAGATAATCTGCAACAAACATCAATATTCAGAAATGTTCTTCTTTCAACATTCTACTTTCAGCTTTCTTCCTCTCCATTTGCATTCTGTTTCCAAATAGAGGCAAAAGCCCTCAACCACCTTATCCAAGCCTTTTGAAGACTTGTTCATCATTGTTGAATTTTGTTCTCTCTGTGTGTAAGTGCATGTGTACATGTGTGTGTGTATGTGTTCTTTGCCCACTTTTATGTATGTCATAACAGTGGACTAACTAGGGATGTTTCCTTTAAAGTCAAAGTGTATCTGCATGAGAGGTGAGGAACCAACAGTCTACATACAGATTAGCCAGATCTGTAATATGGATGTACGCACATAACTCAGTTGTGGAACAAGACAGGTCAAAGTGGATGAACAACTAGAACTTGCTCCCTTTCATGTATGTCATAAGAGTCAATTAACTAGGGATGTTTCCTTTAAAGTCAAAGAATATCTTCCTGAGAGGTGAGGAGCCAATAGTCTACATACAGATTAGCCAGATCTGTAATATGGATGTACACACATAACTCAGGTTGTGGAACAAGACTGAGGTCAAAGTGGATGAACAACTAGAACTTGCTCCCTTTCATGTATGTCATAAGAGTCGATTAACTAGGGATGTTTCCTTTAAAGTCAAAGAATATCTTCCTGAGAGGTGAGGAGCCAATAGTCTACATACAGATTAGCCAGATCTGTAATATGGATGTACACACATAACTCAGGTTGTTTAACAATACTGAGGTCCAGAGTGGATGAACAACCAGAACTTTCTGTTGAAGTTTACAGCTGGTGAATGTGAAGAAGAAGAGGAGGAGTTTGAATTTTACAGTTTTTTATTGGATGATGTAGTCACTCTCACACTAATCATTCCTACCTGTATAATACAACAACTGAGTCATGGTAGCTTACTTGTGAGCCCACAAGCTTATTGTTCAGATTAACACTGAGATCATATAAACCTTAAATGGAGTACCAAGTAATGTCCCAGGAAGCAAAAGCATTTGGTGCAGTGTTGACTACATCACTCATCCAGGGCTGCTAGGTCCGTAGAAATATGGATCTAGCTCTCTATGCCAGATGCACTAAAGCCAGGAAAAAGGTCCTCAGCTTTACTTATTACCAACATACAATGTAGGTTACATCTTCGCTTCAATTGTTTGTTAACTGCCATAACTCTGACCTTCACTTGCAGTGGATTCCGTCTCACTGTGGCATCCAAGGAAATGATAGCTTACTTGTGAGCCCACAAGCTTATTGTTCAGATTAACACTGAGATCATATAAACCTTAAATGGAGTACCAAGTAATGTCCCAGGAAGCAAAAGCATTTGGTGCAGTGTTGACTACATCACTCATCCAGGGCTGCTAGGTCCGTAGAAATATGGATCTAGCTCTCTATGCCAGATGCACTAAAGCCAGGAAAAAGGTCCTCAGCTTTACTTATTTATAATACGACATACAATGTAGGTTACATCTTTGCTTCAATTGTTTTTTAACTGCCATAACACTGACCATCTGATGAGACTTGAAAAGCGAGTCATTTCAGGTTAACTTGAATCAGGTCACAGCTAGTTCCATACTATCCTTTCATCTGTTTCTTCCCCTACAATATCCATCACTTTCTGAAAACAGTGTAGAACAAAAACTAAATAATGTTTTACTAATTGACTGGAGACTGTATTTCACTTTTTTTTTTAAATACACTATTGAATGTCAGTTTTTTTAAACCTATATGGAACATAAGAGTAGTTTTTTAAATAACATTTGTTGTAAATACCTGACTTTTGAACAGTATTTTAAATTGAAAATTAAAAATATTGTTTTCCATGTAAATTTAAAATACAGTGATGTGTTATTGATGAAAGATAAAGTATAATTACAGTTTAGCAATTCAGATTTGCATATTTTCCCACCAGGATCCTGCTATTTCAAGTGAGCAGCCGGCTGGAACCTACCCTCCTTTCGATGATGGTGTTCAGATGGATATCTTTGTGAAGAATGATGCAGGCAGTATTTTGATTGGCCAGGTATTGTAAGATTTCATCATTGTTTTACAGTATTATTTTTTTGTGTGGGCTTTACAAGTCTTGTATCAAGTCTTCATATCTAGGTAACTAGAAAATTTATTTTAATGTAAAAATGAAATAAGGCCTTAAGGCATGTCAGTGAATGAATGGACAGAAAACAAACAAACTTTATTTCAAAATTGTTATGAATTGGGCATGTGGACCCATTTAACATTATAACAGGAGCTGTGATATTAGAACTGTATTTTCGGTAAGTCACCCAAGTTGGGCATCATGATAATTATTGTGCTTGACAGAGTGACACCCCTACACAGTCATATTGTAAGTATTATCCTTGCCACTTGTAGTTACTCACATGACACTGCTTTTCTTTTTGTAGGTCTGGCCAGGAAAAACTGCATTTCCGGATTTTTTTCATCCCAAAGCTGTTGATTATTGGTACAAGCAAGCCAAGGAATTTCATGATAAGATACCATACGATGGCCTGTGGATTGTATGTAATCATTATCATGAATATTAACATCATCATTTTTCATGCTAATATAACAAATATTATCTTAAAATTAAAAGCCGTTAATCGAAAGCTTATGTAACAAAAAGGATAGAGTTAAGGTAATTACTAGGAGAGAGTTAAAGTATCAGATAGTTAATATTACAACTAAAGTATAGTTATTATAACAGCTTGGACAAAGTCAATGTAACAGCTTGAATATAATTAAAGTAACAGCTAAAATATATTTAATAGCTAGGATCATTGCTCCCATCACAGCCTGCCTGAAAGAATCCTGGTCCCTCGAAAGCTCTCCTGCCTCATGCACTTTCCTGCCGTAGGTGTCTTCTTTGGCCGCTGCCCACTTTCGTGTTGGTCAGCTCCTGCCTGTCTTACCAAGTGCCATGCTGTCCATCATTCTTCTTTCCAAACCACTGCAGTATTTGATATGGCCAAAATATTTCAGTTTCTGAGATAAGATGGTGTTTGCAAACACATTTTCTTTGATATTCAGGTCTTTTAGAATATAAGTGTTTCTTTTCTTATTGGTTCATGCTGTTCTGAGAATCTTTCTGTAGCAGTTCAGAAACCCATACTTTCTTACTTAAGGGCAAAATGTGAATTAACCACAAAACTAGAAAATTTGAGGAACATTTTTTTGGTCTGTCTTTTAAATTTGATTTAAAATTGGTTTTTGACAGGACATGAATGAGCCTTCAAACTTTGTGGATGGATCCGTCTCTGGATGTACAAGTAATGAACTGGACAATCCTCCTTTTACTCCAGCAAGTGAGACAATTCTTATTTTTGTTTTATGCGGAAAGAGCTATAAAAGTCAAAACCTATCTGCACTTGTGCTTTATATAATATATTGAGATATTTGACTGTGTGAAACATGAGAAAATAATAGCAAACTGTCACTGCTGTCTGTACTACCACTTTCTAGGGCAGTGTAATCAATGGTTGTAAGCCTGAAGATTAAGGGCCACATGGCTAGTGCTGGCGCCATGGACTGTACAGGTAAGGATGTTTAATTTTGCCCTTGATGAAAAACTCCATCCCCTTACCATGTTGAACCCATGTTTCCCGCATGTGAGCCTGACGTTGTAGCCACTCAGCCGTGTCTTAGAAAAATTAAACATTGATTGAAAAGATCTATAAATAATAAAAGAACATGAAATGGCAGTAGTGGCATATTGTGGAGTCATAATTGCCCACGCGTTATCAAGGCACTTGGTGATGATGTGGAAAAATGAGCTGGGAAGACAGAAAGGTGCATGTGGAAAAATGAGCAAGGAAGACAGAAAGGTGCATGTGAAAAGTTTAAACGGCAGGGCATTTTTTGATTTTATTGTTATGACAAATATAGAAGCTTTCCAGTAGCAAAAATCCATTCTGTCGTTTGCAATGTTGTTCCTGTAAAAAGTGACCAGTTGTAATTTCCAATTTTAATCATTTGAAATTGCTGATTTTTAAAAAAAATCCATGGCCTGGCCACATGAGCTTTCAAGGTAAACACTTTTATATTACCAGAACAAATTAGCAATGGGAGCTTAGGTACCTGGTGGGGGAATAATTCATGGTGGGGGAGGGAGTGGGGAAGGGTTAAGTAGTCAACCTAACCCCCGGGGGGGGGGGGGGGGGGGGTAAACCCTTAACCAAGTATTGATGTTTGGTTATCAAATATTCATGTATACATTTACTATTACAATAAAACCTTGCTAACAAGAATTTAAGTAGACCAGAAAATCATGAGCTTGTGTTAAAAATTGTGCTTACGGGACTGATAAAGTGTATCAATACATGTATTTCTCTGCCGGAACCAAAAGTTTGTTCAAGTTAATTGAGGGTTCATCTTAAGTGAGTTCATGTTAACAAAATTTTACTGTATTAAGATTTTACTGTATTTCAAATAATATATTTATTTGTAATTCAGCACATTATAATAATAATTATTATTATTGCCCTCTTAAATAAGGTTTAGACTTTCTTGATGTCTGTCCCCTACAAAATTGTAAAGGAGCTAAACACACCTTTCCTACCCCCAAGTTTTCTTGTTGACTGCATACCTGCCAGAATATATGCATTTTCCATCAGTGTATACTATTTAAATAATATACATTTTAAAAGATTATATGAAGGCTTTAATATGCACACTTATTTCATAAACAATTTATTAACAGCAATTGATGGAGGAAAGCTCATGTCTAAAACAATCTGTCCTTCGGCTAAGCATGTGATCTCAACACACTACAACTTACACAACATGTACGGTTGGTCCCAGTCTAATGTCTCCAGAAGGTTGGTTTCAGATGAGAGTTTAAAAAAAAAATTTCAAAATTGTTTTGTAGTTTTATAATTCATAATTATTCTGTGCCATACTGATAAGCTTACTTAGTCGCTCCTCTTCTACCTTGGGGTGTAGAGGTTTGCCAGAGAGATCGCCAGACGTCTCTATCAGCAGTTTTCTTTCTGGCTTTGTTCCATTCCAGTCCTCTGTCAGTTAGGGACTGTCGGATGTTGTCTTCCCAGCGCACCCTGGGTCGTCCCGGAGGTCTAGTTCCCTGGTTCTTAGCCTCCCATGCTTGCCATGGTGGCCGATTTTCTCCCATTCTGCATACATGTCCAAACCATTGTAACTGTGACTGATCTACTCGGGTTAGTAAGGGCTGGGTATCAAGATCTTGACGTATTGTCTGATTGCGGACTTTGTCCCTTCTTGTCACTTGGACCACCTTTCTCAGGTATCTCATTTCCGAGGCCTGCAGCTGGCTTCTGTGAGCTGTTGTCATTGCCCATGACTCACACCCATAGGTCAGCCCGCCATACTAATAAGCATGGATAATTATGGTTAACCAGCTGACATGATCACTATAGCCTCAGATTTTTCCATGTAGCCAAACTATCCAGTTAAACTTTACCTTCCTTTTATTCTGTTCCCATTGTGTAAGATGTCACATAATAAATTGTGGATATTTTTGGTGACTTCCCTTTGTTTTCAGTGTTTTCTGAGAATTTTCTTCTTCCATTGCCTTGCATAAAAGAATTGAATGAAATAGACAGTGAGGCAGACCAAGAGGAAGAGATAATATACAGACAGAAACCTATACTTGGCGGTCACCACCTGGAAAGAGAAACCAGTCAGAGAAGTGAAGGGTTGGAGGGGTTTAGACTTAATCAGTTTACCCAAATTCTTGAGGGCTGGGAATGCTGAAGAAGGAAAAGATTGCCTTGTTTGGAGCAGACAATGACTTTTGTTAACTCTCCACTCATTTCTGTCAACTGATGTTTTAAGTTGGTGTTGCCAACATTATTTGTTGCCCAGCTGTTGAATCTTGCCACGTATATCTTTCTTTATCTGTCTTACTCATGGTTTTCATGTCTAGTATTTTCCTCACAAAAGGCATTTTTATTTTCAAGAATTAACTTTATCATCCCAAGAAAGCTTGTTTTCCAAGTTTTAGGGGTTTTTGTTGACATGATTGTCTTTGGGTAGTCACCAGATTACTTATATTACAGCTTTGGTACTGGTTACAGCTGCATAGTGTGTGGAGGTTGCGGGTATGATTTAAAATAAACAAATAAATAAATTTTTTGAGATGTTATTTGGGATGAAAACATAGATCTCTTTTGGATCATTGTGACAGCGTAATAAATTTGTAAATTTGCCTCACTTTGTTGATGTACAAATAAATTCTCCAAAATAAAAATCATACCAGCCAAGAAGTAGAACTGGTCGTCATCATCATCATCTTCTACAGGGTTCAAGGAGCAGATCAGTCTCAATGACACATGGAGTTACAAGGCTCGTCCCCAACAGACTTGTACGACATAAAGTCAACCCTCTGTAATGGATTCTATCCGTTATGTTACAATCCTTTCGATATCAGAGGAGGCTGAAAAAGCACAGACAGCTTCAAGCACTCTAGAGAGGTGGTCCTCTCAGCAACCATTCAGTCTTTAGAGAAGTTTCTATGGCAGCAGCTGTCCATATTTAGGAGTAACCTTTGAAAACTCACATAAATAGAAAAGACACAAGCAAGGGACTCAAGAGAACCCTGATGAGAAGTTAGCTGGAACAGCAGGGGGGCAAACCTAATGTCCTTAAGAGGACCATACAGGCTACAGCAACACTAGAAATATGGACGCACAACTAAATCAAACAAAAGTCTCAAAGATCCAAAACCATGCTCTCCGTATTTGCAGGGGGGCTCCACGCCCAAAAGAAGAGAAAAATTAAAAGGTAAGGAAGACACTAGATCCTCACCCGCTCTATACCACCACTTTCAAACAGTCGAAAGAAGGCTGAACACAACTTGCTTTTTCGAGTGAAATTTCAGATTTGTTATTAAACCACTGGATTCTTCTGTACCAAACAGAACACTTAACAGGGGGTCTCCTCCAAATCATCAATGGCAACTCAATATGAAATTCTCTATGGCACGTTACCCACACCAGAGTTGGATCTCCAGTGTATACACCCGGTTCCTCATTTGCTGGCACTGGTAAATTGGTTGGACATTGGTTGGGCGACAATTTTTCATCTTTCCCTGATTTGTATTATTCTATACCAGGTTTGTTACGTCTTTTAGCTTTGTCATTTGAATTCTGTTGAAGTAAATTTTGTTCTCTCCTACACATCTGTTACATTATTTTCTTAATTCTTGTTTGGGTTCTGCAGCCCTATTTCATGATGTAATCATGTATGTCCACAGCCTTCTTTCCCATGTACTTAAAATAAAAAAAAATAAAAAAATAAAAATCTTGTTCTTTACGCTCACCGGCTTCAAACTCCAATGAGAAATTCTGGTTGTTCATTTCTGCTCTTTGATTTTGTTCTAGAACTTGAGTTTTGCATACACATCCATTTTTCAAATCTGGCTTATTTGTATGCAGACTGTTGGTTCCTCATCTCTCAGGTAGATGCGCTCCAACTTCAGAGGAAATTCCCCTAATTTATCACCTTGTACGACATGCTGGTTAGGGAGGCAGTGGGTCTGTTATTTTTTCCTCAGAATGGGGCTCCCGAACCTGCACCGGAAACAGAAAGTTTAGAAAAGACCATTCTTTCTGATGGCTTTCAAGGAGTTGCAGCATGGAAAAGATTTATCTAACCATATAATATTCCCATAGTTAGCAGTGGATAGATTGATTGATGTTTGTTCTCCCTACACATCTGTTACATTATTTTCTTAATTCTTGTTTCACAGCCCCAAGCGATAAACACCTGGTGACACAAAGTGCCACCACTGGGATGAGAACCACTTGGGGGACAGGTGAAAAAAAAACAGGAAACCTCGTTCAAACCGATAGATATAGATATAGTCCCCTGACCACACCTACCAGGATGCACGGCGCATGCAAAATAACGTGGCTATAAAAAAATCACATAAATACATTGATATTATGGCTTAAATTGTGTCACCTTGTCCTGTTTTGTAGAGAATTGGATAGAACAAACATATCCTGAAAATTTCAGCTAAAGTTCAGTCTATGTATGAGGAGGCAACAAACACACAGTTTTCATTTTTATTATTTATGTTCTTCAATATCCTGATGCTAGACTGCCCAGCATCTTTTCTCTGGACTCCCTTTCTGCTGGCTTGAGAATAGACTAATAAAGCATGAGACTGAGAAACGCATGCTCCATGCTGAGTGGCAAGCATTGCTTCAAAGGAATGCAAGTGTGTTGAGAAATGAATGCAAGAGTGATGAGAAATGACAAAACAGGCAGACAGGTTGGATAGTGCTGCACTACTGTTATGAAATGGTGCATGGCAAACTAGGTGTGGCCAAGGTCCTTGGGAGCAAGTGAAAAGGTTTGGAAGCATGAATATATAATTACAGTGTGGAGAGAATGATGCAACAGGGAGTGACCTGGGATCTCGCCACCACTCTACACTCAGAGGAAAAGAGAGACATATATAATAAAACTGCTGCTTGTACCATCAGCATTAGAACTCTTTGCTAGCTGCTAAAGATGAGGACAGAGTACTTATGGGATTGTCCTGAGTGCTGTGATATTGGTTCTTAACTCAGCTCAACTTTTCATAAGTTATTTCCAAATAATGTAAATGATCATGAAGAGCTGCACAAACCCTGGAAATGACATGCAGAGCAGCAAATGTTTGTTTGTTGGGTTCGCTGAGTTAGCCTTTTTGGTTTGTTTTGTGGGTCATGACATAGCTTTATTTTGTAGTGCCCTCTTTGTCCCTTTATTTACAGGTGTTAGCTCCTGGATAACCCATCCAGGGCAGCTTTGTGTAGACTAGTCGGTCCTCAAGGAAAGGCAGGGGCAGATCATGTACATTCTCCTACATCCAAAGTGGCTTCCACAAATACAGAACCAACAAATGTCATTCTGTTTTAGTTACAGTTTTATAACAACTGTTATAATAATGAAAGACATTCTGTTTTCAGCTATCCTCAACTTCAACCTGTTTGGCATCCCTCAGATTGGAGCAGACATCTGTGGATTCCTCGGAGTCACAACACCTGAACTCTGCACCCGCTGGCACCAGCTTAGTGCCTTTTATCCATTCATGAGAAACCATGCAGAACTTAGTTCACCAGTAAGGATTTTTCAAGAGTGTTGTTTTATCTTTACTTGCTTAAAGAGTAGTGAATGAGTTTAACAGTTTCTGATCCTTGAGTACTGGGGTTTGATGTGCAATGATGGATGGTTTATTTGGAAGATGGTGAAGTTAAAATATAGCAGACAAAGTCCTTTGTGAAGAATGGCACATAGTGTGTTGGTTAAGACTGCTGAGTTGGGGGAACTGATCACATAAAATGAATATATCATATTGTCCTTCCGCTATATTACCATCTTTGTTTTTGTTTACTTTTTAATACTGGTTTTCTTCAACTTTGAAAATCACAGTATCAGGACCCAGCATCCTTCCAGCCCCCATTCAGAGATTACATGAAGACTGCCATAGAGTTGAGATACAGGCTATTGGCTGTGCTCTACACTGCCTTCTACAGAGCTCACACTCAAGGCTTGCCCATTGTCAGGCCTCTGTTTTTCTTGTAAGTACATAGCAATGTATAATTAATGATGCGGCGGCTTAGAAAAAATAATTTTGGAAGATGTGGTTCTTTGAAGAAGAGGCAGGTATCATTGGAACTGCAACTCTGCTCTGGCTGTGAAAGATGAGGACGCAGAAATTAGGGGAATGTCCCGAGTGCTGTGATGTCAGTTCTAAACTCAGGTTAACCAGAAGAGGCAGATGTTGATGTGTTCAAAGATGTAGTTGATGTAGTAAAAACACTGTGGACAGGAAAGTACATAAAAGAATAACAAAGTAAAGAATCCTTTTTATGCCAGAATTACATCAGGTATATGATGGTAGACTATTTTTGTGTGTGTGTGGCCCAAAACATTCGGGTGTGTGTATGGTAATGACCTCCTTTACGATAAAACACACATGGTGAAGGCTTTCTGGGGTCAAGTAACATTGCAGTAGAACATACAGTTCATCCAGGATATGGCGAGTGAAAGGTAATAAAAGATGCGGCAGACTTGCTGAGTCTGTAGTAGTTAATGGAGGATGAAGTATGGACGGGGCAGACACAATTAATGTGCTGCATTCCAGAGATGTTGAGACAAAGGAGTAAGAGATGATGAACAACCTGTTGGAAAGGGGAAATAAAGGAGGACAAGCATGCAGAAACCGGCTGAGGGGAAAAGAAAGAAAATATGCAGTCAACTCCTACTGGGTTCGTTAATCATGGAGACACTGAGATGGCTGCTGCATTGGAGGATGGAGCACAAATGGGTGAGACCAGTGTGCCAGGATGTTGATACAGATAACAAATAATGAGACAGATCATCCATATTTGGAGAGAATGATTCAGCCTGGAGTGAAGTGAGCAGAGGGTCTGGATGGTTTTCTAACTGCAAGGGGGAGGAAAGGAAACTTTCATCTTGTTACCGCTGGCACTGTCAGTATGGGAACTCTTTGTTGGCTAATCTAGAAGGGGACAAAGGACATACGGGAATGTCAATAGTGCAGTGATGTCATTTTATGATTCATTCATTCATAACTTCGTAGACCAGTCTGCACTCAGTGAGTGAATGTGGTCAACATAAGAAAAAGGGGGATAGGATACAGAAGGAGGAAAAAGAAGATTCGAAAAAGCATGAGGAGAAAATTATAAATGATGAGAAAGATGAGAAGAAAGGGGGATAAGAAGAAATAGGACAATTGCTAAAATCATTAAATCCAACAGTTTCCTTGATAAGGCATGTTGAACAAGTAGCTTGTGGCAAAAGCAAAGTTGAAATGTGTGGGCCAGTCTGACTAAGTGGGTCTAAGGGGAATTTCTGACCATGAGAATGCCAAACCAAGATGAGAGTTAGATAGTGCTGGAGATCCATTACCGCTAACCTTCATTATGGAAATAGCACCTGATTGATTAACTGATTGGTTAAGAGAGGATAGGTATAAAAGAAGAAGTTGAGCTGAAGGAGCTACTTTTTAGCACTCACTGGCTGGTGGAAAGTTCTGGTTTCTCACCTGCTTCTGGATTTTGGTCTGTTTCCAGAGCTTGAGTATAGGTTGCATATTCATTTTCACAGATCTGGCTTGTTTGTATGCATACTGTTGGTTCCTTGCCTCTCAGACTGATGCACTTTGACTTTGAAGGAAACACCCCTAATTTGCCACCTCCTACGACATGCTTGTTAGGGTCCTTCCTAAATGGGTTGCTAGATCCACAGGAGGAGCTGAAGGAACCGAGAATAGAAAGCTTACATCAGTTAGTGCAAAGAAAGATAAAATTAGACTGCATCTACAAGCAAGAACACGTCATTTGACTCATCAGGTTGAGACAAGTGAACATTTAAAAGTTAGACAAGAAGATTGATTGCCTGAGATTAGGAATGCCAAGTTCAGTTATGAAAAAGATATCAAACTAAATGAAAAGTAGAACTAGTCAGTGGATGCTGTGGCTAGAAAGCTTTCATCAGAAGTTTACATGAATAGAAAATGCCACAAATATGAACAAGAATACACAAAATCTGAAGAAACATGAAGTATCACCGAGAGAAATCAACTTGTCTGTCCTTGTTCAGGTGAATCTCTAAATGCGTGCCATCACTGGAAATTTATACTAGCCAGAAAAATGCAGGACAGGCTAGGAAAAGAACTCAAAAATATTAGATAAAAATATGTTGAATGTTAAATCCCCTGGGAGAGCATGGAGTCCATTAGATAGAAAAAGCTGTTCTCGAGAGACCTTCAGACTCTGTCATTGGAGTGCCTGGACCTAATGGCTGTAACCTTCAGAAATAAAGTTATGTCTTTCCTGAAGATATTGGATTTCAGGAGACTTGTGTCCGAAACTGTCCTTCCAATCATTATTTTCTTATCTCCACCAGGTACCCAGGCACTGAGGCTATCGACAAACAGTTCATGTGGAATGATCAACTTCTTGTGTCCCCTGTTGTAGACGAGGTAGGTCTTTTATTGAAGCCATGCTGTCGGAGCTAATTACTTTTCATGGCGAACGAAAATGACATAACTGGGAGAGGTAGATATATAGTTTATCCCCTCCATAATTGCAGTCTGCAGGGCTAACACATCAAGGATTAGAATTTTAGATCTACAAATCTTGGAAGCACCATTCAGCTGCTTAGCAGTTATACTGGAGTTTCCCCCTGATGTTTACATAGTAACCTGAAGTCTGGACCGGGCAGGGGCCTGTCGATAACTGGGACACACCATTTAGTCAATGAAACTGTGAGGTTAGCATCAAATAACAGATATTCCCCCAGATCATGGGAACATGTCCTTTGCTGTCTTTTACCTCAGGCTCTTGGGCCAGAAGAAAATAATCATGAGTAAATGAATAAATGTATGAACGAAGGAATGAATCAATCAGTCAGTCAGTCAGTCAGTCAGGGAATGTATGAACAAATGAAGATTGTTACCTATTTCAGGATAATTGTATTTTATTTTTCAGGGAGCCTCATCTGTTCAAGCCTTCATCCCAGATGATGTGTACTATGATTTTTACACTGGAGCTTTGGTAGCACAACGGGGTCAGACTGTACAGCTAAATGCTCCCATTGATTATATCAATGTCCATGTTCGCGGGGGATCCATTTTACCACTCCTGCCTGTTACCCAACGAACTAATTTGTCGTAAGTAGCTATGAAACAAATCTCAGCAAAAGTGTTCATAGTCTATATAAAACGTTGATAATTCTACTAAACATAAAGGTCCCATAGCTCCCTGCTGGGTTCTTTGGCCCATTGTAGGCAAAGACAAGAATAGACCAACTGCCTGCCCAAAAGGATGTTATTAGAGTTGACTAATTGGGAGCTTCCTTTGAAGTCGGAGTACATCTGCCTCAGAGGCAAGGAACCAACAGTCTGCATACAAATGAGTCAGACTTGTGAAGCGGATGTGCATGCAACACTCAGCTTTTGGAACAGGACTAGAGACTAGAAGTGGATGAACAATCAGAACTTTCCGCCGGAGTTACGAGCCGGTGAATGTGAAGAAGAGGAAGTGAGGCCGATAGTAGATTATATTGTTTGTCATCATCATAATTGTTCCCATGTCCCACCGATTTTCATTGGGTCGCTAGTTACTGTTGACTGTCCTGATTAGTTTCCTCTAACTCTCTCAGTCAGATGTATTGGACTTGATTTTTACATATCTGAGGCTGGTCTCATCATCATCATCATCATGTATCAGGTCCTTTGCAGAACGTCGCTGTCATCACAGTCTGCCTGAAAGAAAGAAACTCGGTCTCTCGCCAGCTCTCCTGCCTCATGTACTTTCATACTCAAGGAGTCACTTATATCCTGTGCCCATCCTTGTGTTGGTCAGCCCCTGCCCATCCTTCCTGGTACCATACTTTCTGCTATAATTTTTTTCCAATCCATCGTGGCGCTTGATATGACCAAAATATTTCAGCTTCCGAGACAGGCTGTTGTTTATTAGCCAATCTTCCTTAATGTTCAGATCTTTCAATATGTCAATATTTCTCTTCTTCTTTGTCAAAAATATTCTGAGAATCTTTTTATAGCATTTCAGCTCAAAAGCCCCTATTCTCTTTCTTAAGGACTGCGAGATAGTCTACGACTCACATCCGTATTTTGCTACAGGGAAGATGCATGCTTTCAAATTTTGAGCTCCTTGCTGGTGCTTAACCATGGACTTTTAAAGCTATTTAGGCTTTGCATTGCCATGGCCAATCTCCTTTTAATTTCTGTCAAAAGGTCTCCATTGCTATTTAATATAGAGCCAAGATATTCAAAGTTTGTGACATTTTTAATTTCTTCATCATTTATTATTTTTGGGTGACAGCCAGTTTAATCTGTTGACATTTTTTTAGTTTTCTTTAAATTCAAGAACAGATTTTGATCTTCACTGTAGCTTCCATGATAAGTTTCTAGGGAAAATAATGTGGTAGTTTCCCCTTGCTTTCCACATCCACATGGCTTTAGACTACGTCCTCAGCCTTCAGCACCCTTTTCGATTGCTAGGGCAAGTGAGTGCCTTGCTCTGTGATGCTCCTGCTAACAGCAGAGGGCGCCCCAGAGGTGTCCACTTATTCTGGCAAATACTCGGTCCCCATAGCTGCGTTGGCCACACCGCAGTGTGTTTACCATCCTCTAACCGCATGGAGGTGCAGTTGGGGTTTTCCCTCCACTGAGTCAAGACCAGAATGGCATTTCCCAAAACTCTCCAGTACTTTCAGAGGATGAGACCAGTCTAGTCAGCCAAATTATATATCCAGGTCTGTCTAGGTCTGCTGTTTCTCCTCTACCAAGCCATATTGTAATATTTTGGAGAGGCCAGTAAATTTTGTTACATGCCCATATTATAGCATCTTATATATCTTTTCACTGGTTCATAATTGCCAGTGTATTCAGCAATGATAGGTGAATCAGATATTACTGTTCGGATGTGAAATTTTTAACATCAATATTCTGTTATGCCATAATACATCGCACACAAGGCTCACAGTCCAGTCCTTTATCCCATTCTGTCCTGTGCAATCCTTTTGATATCATGGATGGAAACCATTGCAGCACCCTTGGCTTCTCTCAGCAACGTTCCTCTCAGTGTGCTGTTTGAAAGTTCAGATATTCACATAGTCTAAGCCTCTACAAAAAGGGTGTGGTGGCTGACTTCCACCATTGTTACTTTTCCTTTCATGACAGTTCCAAGAAAATTGTCTGGTCCTATTTTATTAAATGAAAGTGGGTTCTGCTCCACAACTTTACATGTCAGAAGCAATAATCCTGATTCTACTGGTGATCACTATGCTATAACTACTACTTCCTGTTTACTTCCACTTTTACATCTTTAAATGACAGTTTAGGAAGAGTTTCTGGGGCAAGGTACTCATGTAAGTTGCCCATGAAGTTGTCCTTGTTGTGTTTGCTGTTCTGCTAACCTTTTCAATTGAAGATTCTCTTTCGAGCTCTTTTCTGCAATATATAAATGGCATTGCTGTTTAGAGCTTACTGTTTATACTTCCACATCTGTTTGTTTTCTTTCTGTTTCATTCCTAGTTTATAGTCTTGAAATGTTTAGTAACAATTTGAAGAACTTGATAGTGAGTACCTTCTAGGGGCAGAGGTACAACATAAGCCTAAGTTGACCCATGCTGAAGTCAGCCATCATGTTGTACATCCTAATATGCCTCAATGGGTTTGTTTTTCTGGTTTTGACACTCTTTGGATTCTGGGCTTGAAGAGGGAATTCTGAGATTCGATGATCTTTTTTCTGCAAAATATAAGGACGGCATTGCTTGGTTTAGAGAATCTTGCTGTGGTGGGTATCATGTAGTCTTCATCCATTGCCATCTGTTATTTTCTGAAAAAAAGTTTCATGCACAATAACGTAGCTACATTCCTAGTTTATAGTGGCTTGAGAGATTGTTTTGGTAACAATTGATTGGTGAAGAACTTTGATAGTGAAATACCTACAACATAATCAACCAGGGCCAAGAATTACCAACCTAACCAATCCTACCAGCCAGACAGTGCGTGCTGCAACTCAGCCATCATGACCATCTCAGGCAGATGCACTCTGACTTTGAAGGAAGCACCCCTAATGAATCTACTTTCATGACATGCTTGTTAGGGGGCAATGAGTCTGTTGTTTATTTTCCTCACAATCGGACCCTGAAACCCACATAGGAGGTTTACATAGTTTGTTAACAGTTGTCAGTGAGAAGTGGGAACATTGAGAAGTGGGAACATTGAGAAGTGGGAACATTGAGAAGTGGGAACATTGAGAAGTGGGAACATTGGGAAGGGGGAACATTGAGAAGTGGGAACATTGGGAAGTGGGGACATTGGGAAGTGCGAACATTGAGAAGTGGGAACATTGAGAAGTGGGAACATTGAAAAGTGGGAACACTGAGAAGTGGGAACATTGGGAAGTTGGAACATTGAGAGGTGGGAACATTGGGAAGTTGGAACATTGCCGTGCCGCCATTGGGAAGTTACCTGAGAAGTTGAACCTGGTATGGAACATTGAGAAGTGGGAACATTGGGAAGTTGGAACATTGAGAGGTGGGAACATTGAGAGGTGGGAACATTGAGAGGTGGGAACATTGGGAAGTGGGAACATTGTGAAGTGGGGACATTGTGAAGTGGGAACATTGAGAGGTGGGAACATTGAGAGGTGGGAAACATTCTGAGGTCCATTTGAGGCGAACATTCTAGGTGGGAACATTGAGAGGTGGGAACATTGAGAGGTGGGAACATTGAGAGGTGGGAACATTGAGAGGTGGGAACATTTGGAAGTCGGAACATTGTGAAGTCGGAACATTGTGAAGTGGGAACATTGAGAGGTGGGAACATTGAGAGGTGGGAACATTGAGAGGTGGGAACATTGAGAGGTGGGAACATTGAGAAGTGGGAATATTGAGAGGTGGGAACATTGAGAAGTGGGAACATTGAGAAGGATGATGTGATAGTGCTTATTGATTTTTTTTTTTAAAGTATCCAAAAGCCATGAGTTGTTAACTCTTGGGCTCGATATTATGGATATCGCAACCTTTCGGCCTTGTTTCCATGATAGATACCCTAAATCTAGGAGAAATGTGTCTTTTCTGCCTACCTCCTGGTGTAAACCCGGATACCACAAGGAGTTTGTCACCTGGTCGCCGCAAAGTCAAGTTTAGCCAACTACGCTAGCGAGCCGGTCTTATTGATAAATTTATGTTGTGAGGTAACTGCCACTGATAGCAGTAATATGTATGATGGTATAGCATTTACTTATTGAATTGAATGTCGTTGATAAAATATATCAGTGATACTGCTGAGATACGTATGTATTTGTACGTATAAATGATGGCAAATGGAGAATCTACAGTGTGTATGTACATGTGAATCAACTCTCTGAAAGCAAATAGAATTTCTTATCCGTAAATCAGTAGATGATTTATATGGTAAAAACCCTATAGCTGGAGATCTCAAGACTTGATTTTAAAAAAAACATTTGGGAAATCTTACAAAAATTAACTAAGCCAAGGCACTGCTTGGCAGCAGTGTGGCTATTTTGAATGATGATGGCGCTAAAAGATTTAGCAGCCAGACTAGGTAATGTGGGTATCATAGATTTGGCTTTGATTTTCAGTATAGATTTTCCCCTCCGCAAGCTAAATGTTCTGTGAGCTCAGAACAGGTTCACCTGCAATGTGTCATGCTCATCCCAAAGGAGCAGATAAGCATCAGACATGCTAAGGCCAGATTCATCTTCATATTATGCATTAGAGACCTAGCTGAACATTTGTCCATCCTTGCATTGAAAGGCCAGACACAAAACAAACAGAACAACTTTTATCCAGCCACCATGGTGGAATAAGAGAGTTTAAATCCTTTTATTTGTAAACAGACGGAAGGAAAAATTCCAGCTGATTGTTGCTGTAGCAGCAGATGGCACTGCCAGTGGTGAACTGTTCTGGGATGATGGTGAAAGCATCGGTAAGTACAGCTTCAGTGGGTCTTTTTAAAGAGCAACAATTCCTATTTAACATTGCTTATATAACTGGTCTTTCTTTTGAAAATTGAACCTGCTGCATAAGTACGTTGAAATAGAAAAATAAAAATTATAATTAGAAGAAAATAAAGTGCACATGCATGCATGCACCACGCATGCACGCACACACATACAAATATACACACACACATAGCTAAAGATTTCTGTGTGTGTATTATGCTTTGAGACCAATGCATTATTTTGTCTTTTTATTCTGCTCTTATCTTTTCTTGGAGCATAAACCCTAAATCAGCTTATGCCAAGCCCTTGATCTTTTGCCATTTCTTACAGCTTCCTCATCCTCCCAGTATTATTCCTCCCAATATTATTCATCTGTCTCAAATTTTATTCTCAACATTCTATTAAGTCTCTTTTAGTTTTTTTTTTTTTTTTTTCATTTTTTCCCTATGGTTCCAGAGAAAGGGCTTTTTAATTAACCTAATAGGTTTTCTCAAAATGTGTCCTGTCTAGTGCCAGAGTTTTATTCTCACCTCTAGATTCAACTTAATTTGTTACTTCTTTCCCTTTGCATTGGTAATTACAGTAAATGTGTGTAATTTTAAGTCATTGGTTTAGTTTTTCTCAACAGATTTGTTTAGCTGAACTGATTATTTGTTTTCTTCACAGACAGTGTTTCTGGAAATAAATATTCTGACATCACCTTCAGCCTGACAAAGTCTGTAAGTAGTTTAAAAAAAGTTTTGAATATCAGCTTTAGTTCTAGATCAACTTTGTTTATTATTATACAGTAGCATTCTGAAATCAAATAGAAAGTTATCAAGAAACAGAGACTGGTAGAATTGATGGAGAGAAAAGTCAGACCAACCATGTTAGTTTACTCTGTTGGCTGATGTACTGACATCAAGAGATGTGTTGTAGCTAGTTTACTCTGTTGGCTGATGTACTGACATCAAGAGATGGGTTGTAGCTCAGACAGTTTCAGCTGAAGAATTTGGGAGTTTCAGCTGGAGAATTTGGAACAGTTAAAGCTTGAAGAATTTACAAGTGAAAACTTAACAATTTGGGAATGCAAAATAGAAGACAAGAAAGAAAAAAGAACAAAAGAAAGAGAGAGAGAGCATTCTTCTTCTTCTTCACTTCCTCTTTTACTGCTTCAGGTGTCGAGGGAGATATAAAGTTATGCTTCTTTCTCTTCTGGCTCCCTCAGGGTTATCTTTCCATCTTGTTCTTAATCCACTTCGTGTTGTACGTCCTTCTCCTCTTTTAGTATATGCCATGTATGAATCTGCTTAATTTGGACACAATGTTTACGCTGTCTTTTAGAACCACCTGATTAGTACTGTTGTCAAGGGAGGTTATAACCCTCCAGAAGGAGTCAGACTTGGCGCAGTGATACTCTATGGCATTAACTATGGCCCCGGGAGTGTCAGTGTCAATGGGAAAGATGCCACTTTCAACTATGATGCAAGTTTGAAGGTTGGTCTGTTGTGCTGTTTGTATATCAAACTGTCATTTTCAAAATGGTTCTTTAGTAAAAAATATATTCAGTCAGTGTATTTGCAGGTCTTGAGATTAAGTTTCTTATTTTTTTAGCTTAAATTTTGCGTTATCTCTTGTAAAGATTTAATTGAATCCATCCTGTCCATAGAGAGTTCATTTTTGATGTAAGTCAAGGACTATTTTCACGGCGGTGGTGCAACGGGTATAAGGTGTTAGCCAGACTGTACCAGTTGGCACTTGATGAGTGATGTTGGCAAGATGGACATTTAATCAAACTACTACTGGCACTATGGGGATTGGAATTCTTCACTGGCTGCTGAAGATGAGGATGGAGTGCTTTTGGGAATTTCCAGAATTAAGTGCTGTGATGTCAATTCTTAGTGCAATGCTACACTCAACACCCAGTGGGTGATGTAGCCGAAATCGCGCTGAAAACCTTTACTTCCCAGTACATTCTCTGATAGCTATATTTAGGCTGGGTCGACCTGGCAGCCAGGTAATTTTGATTTCTCCCAAAATCCATCTGGAGCAGATTCAAACCTAAGACATTCCGTCCTGCAGGCAAACATATATCTGATGCATCCAGCTGAATTAAAAAAAAATATATTAAATGAGCACAAACTACTTATAATAATAATACTAGCATAGCCAGTGACTTAAAGAAATTGTCCAGCAGTGTTTTTTTTGGGAGATGGTAAACTGGTTTCTAGTACCCTTGTATAATGTGAGGTCACACAAATGACAGAATAGGACAGCACTGAGATATTATATTTTCATGATAAATCTTCAGAATAAAAAACACACAATCCAGTGCTCACATTATCACCATCATCATCATTTATCAGGTCCTGTGCAGAACGTTGCTGTCACCAGCAGAAAGGCATTTGGTTCTCTGCTAACTTTTCCACTTCATGAACTTTTCTTACCCCTGGGTGTGCCTAATATCCTTTGTCCACCATCGTACTGGTTGTCTCCTGCCTTTATCTTCCAGCATTACTGTTTTCTCTAAACAGTTATGTTTATGTGGTCAAAGAATTTCAGTTTACACAAAATTATACAGCCCCCCCCATCTCCTTTAATAATTAAATCTTTAACTCTTTCAGTCCCAGGTTACCAAAGAATGTGACCCAAAGTGAATAACCTCAGTGAAATAGAATCAGTTTATTGCTTTTAAAGTGGCAAGATTTGATTTTCTGCATCCTGAAATATTTGGCCAGATTTCTTTTGTATACAGAGACCATAGGTTAGTTGCGTATCCTTTACAGGACATTTCAGAACCAACCCCAACAGCCCCTGACTGTTGTGTGGTTTTTCTAGGCAAATTTACATCTGGTAGTTTCCCATTGCTTTCTGAATGGTCGGTTTTATTGATACCACTGTCGAAACCAACGCAAGGTGCAAGACGCATGGCCTGCAGCTGGTTTTGAACCCGGCATCCCGGCATCGACTTAGCCACAGAGCCGACACAGAGACTTTATAGAAACAAAATAATTACACAGCATCTAATATTTCTTTTTCTTCTTCTTCTTCAGCATTCTACTTGACGTTCATTGCTGCAGATATCACCTGCCTTCACTCATCTCTCTAGTTGGCCTTCTCTTTCCAGTTGGTAACACCAAGAGTTTGCAGGTCTCTCCGGACATTATTTCTCACGTTGTCCGTTTAAATATCTTAAATCGAAGCTTAGCTATCTGTTTCATGACAAGATCATGTTTTACGAAGGTGGGGGTGCTGGCTCCAAGCTTCACCCCCAACCTGGAGGACCAGGGTGTCTCTCTTTTTCTGTTCTCTAACCTTCGAACTTTCCGGTTTGGGAGGCCCTGCTGGTAGCTATGCTACCGCCGGCACAGCTCTCAAGGTCGTTGAGAAACACAAGCTCCCCCACTGAGGCAAGGTGGAGACAATTAATAAAAGCTGATCACACAATACCTTTATTAGGACAGAAAGAGTTAAGAATGTCAGTATTTTTCCTCCTCTATGTCCATGATACTCAAATACTGATCACATTGTAACCAACTCTGTGTCTGATAACATTTGTGTTTCAGGTTGTGCATGTGAACAACCTTGATGTGGACTTGCTGACTCCATTGTCTCTAGTACTGAACTGATGGCAGAATTCTCCAGTTAGACCTGCCAGCATTCCTTAGTACATAATGGTTCAACAGCTCGGGCAGATTCAGATTTTAGGAGTCTGGTGATGATTGTCTGATATGAAGAACCAGGACTGTCTGTCTATTGGCATGGCACATGTTAATGATGATGATGATAATGATTACATGAGAGTTAAAGTTGGTAATTCATGCTATGTGTTTCTTGCCTTTATTAAATACTTTGAGATTTATTGTACTGAAAGCAGCTGTTATATTGTATAGTTTGATGGAATGCATTGAATGCAACTTGTAAATGGTTTAGTTTGATGGAATGCAACTTGTAAATGGTATAGTTTGATGGAATGCACTGATGCAGCTTGTATATGGTATAGTTTCTGTATGTTATAGAACTTCATATGGTGCAGAAACATGGACACAAACAAGCAACTAGAAAATTGAACTGAAATTAAATTCAAAAGTTAGAATTTAGTCCATCAGTTTATCAAAACTCAAGAGTTAGAATTTAGTCTAGTTGTGTATAAAATTCAAAAGTTAGAATTTAGTCCATCAGTTTATCAAATCAAGAGTTAGAATTTAGTCCATAGTGTATCAAAACTCAAGAGTCAGAATTTAGTCTGTCAGTGGAAAAAAAATGTGATTTCTATCTTCCCAAAAAAAAAACATTTTCTATTTCTTCTGGGTTTGCCCTTCAAATTGCACTTGGTATGTTTTATTGTGGTTTACAGCTAGGCTGTAATACCTTCACCTCTAAGCTCAGTATACCTGATTTCAGCAAAACCTTAATTAGCTTCCGCTTGTGACATGCTTGAAATGGGGCAGCGCATTTTTTCATGTTTTCTTTCTCCAAAGATGAGGCCCTGGAGTCCACATTGGAACAATCAACCATTCAATCCAACATGTTGTCTCTAACAATACAAATAACTAAGGTTCACATATTCAGACCAACCAGTAGGAACACATGATGATTTTATTAGTCTGTCTGTAAACTGACAAAACATGCAGTCATCCAATATATACCTACAGTCTTTAACTATCAGTACCAAGCAGTTGTTACTTATGTCTTAATGAGGTGAGCTTCTTCTTCTTATTTAGTCCTATACTGCCTTTCAGCGTCTGCTTTTGACTAGGCATCGAGTGAGGGCCTTGGTATGTGTCACATAGATTGTGTCACCTACGGCAATGGATTTTCTATCTATCCGTTGCTTGCGTGGTCAACCTCTGGTTCTGCTTCCATTATGACCAAATGATAGGGCTCTCTGTGGTGCAATGTCTGCTAATAGTCCCGACACATGTTCAAACTACCTGATCTGTTGTATCTTGTAGATTAATACTGGTTCCATGTCTTTTCTGATATCATCATTCCTGATTCTGTCTCTTCTTGTTATATTGAAGATTCATCATTGACATTTCATTTCTATTGTTTCGATTTCTTAGTTGAGCTCAAAAGCAAAAAATACTTGCCGTGAATTGGTTTAACAGAGACTCTATAGAATAGAAGAAGTTAAACTGATAATCCAGACACAAAGGGTTAATGTAACTTCTGTCTACAGCAGAAGACAATGATAACATCATATATCTTTGGAATGACTAAGAAGCATGTGGTGATCTGTTTGGTACTGAATGAGTTAAACAATCACTGTAGGTTAATTGCGTATCCTTTACAGGACGTTGCAGAACCAACCCCAACAGCCCCTAGCTGTTGTGTGGTTTTTCTACACAAATTTACGTCCAGTAGTTTGCCATTACTTTCTGGACGGTCAGCTTTCTTGATACCACTGTCGAAACCAATGCAAGACGTATGGCCCGCAGCTGGGATCGAACCTGGCATCCCTGCATTATGAAGCGTTCGCATCGACTTAGCCACAGAGCCAACAATCACTGTAGACCAGACTAAAAAAGCTGAACAATATAAATAAGTCTTGCATATTATTATAATGGTCATCATTTAAATATAATCTGTACATCAAAAAACAAAAAATAATTGTATAATGTGTCAAAACAAGGTGGAAAAATTAACTGGCAAAAGAGGAGCTACAACAAAATGGCCATATGCCTAAAATCTACTGATAACCCAGATGAAAACAGTATGGTCAACTGATTGGGTGAATATATACTATTCTTGTGTGCAATTTCATAAATTCATGAAAATTACACCAGATTTTAAGTGTCAAAACTATGAGAAAATTATGTTCCTTTCAGTAGATATGTCCTTTTTTTTCAAAAAGTAAAGCATCAATAGATAATTATGTGTTTCTTTTTTGTGTGTGAACAGCATAGGTAAAAATAAAGTACAAACAAATTGTAAAAAATTAAGCAAAGCATATATGAATATAAACATGTTGCCTGCAAATGTCAGAGCAAAAAATATAAACATGTTGCCTGCAAATGTCAGAGCAAAAAATATAAACATGTTGCCTGCAAATGTCATAGCAAAAAATATAAACATGTTGCCTGCAAATGTCATAGCAAAAAATATAAACATGTTGACTGCTAATGTCAGAGCAAAAAATATAAACATGTTGCCTGTAAATGTCAGAGCAAAATGTCTACAGTTGACTGATCATGAAGTGTCCATTCCAGACTTTTCTCAAGCCTTGATCATTCTAAAACAGTGTTTCCCAGCTCTTTGGTTCCAGGATCAAATCACAGATAATGTGCCGTGATGGATTTTTTTAAAATTGGGCCTAAAAAGGAAATCTTTCCCTGCACTGGGCAACTGTACTAGCCGTGAAGCCCTAAATCCTCTGGCTCAAGGAACCCCCCCCCCCCCAACCCCCCAACACCTTTTTTTTATTAACTTTTCAAGTTTTCAAGTTTCAAGCAACGCCTGATGTGTTAATGAATCTACCCCTTGATTCTCAGCCA